GGCTTAGGGTTTTAGGGTTTGGTGTTTAGGGCTTTGGGGTTTAGGCTTTTAGGGTTTTTTGGGGGGGGGGTTTAGGGTTTAGGGCTTTGGGGTTTAGGGTTTAGGGTTTTAGGGTTTGGCGTTTAGGGCTTTGGATTCAGAATGTAGTTAAGAGTCTGTGTCTTGAGGATCCGTGTAATAGCTCAATCGAGAGGATCACCTTTTACTTGAGGAGACTGGCAGGTCTCTCCTAAACCCTGAGCCCCAAAACCCTAATTCAAGCCCTATACCCTTGAACCCGTAGTCACCCTTAACCCAACCCTACCTTAACCCCAAATAACCCACCTTTTCAGGGACTTATATAAAGAAATCATAATGGGGGGGGCCCTAAAAAGGTAGGTTCCTTAGGGTCCAAGTAAACCCTAAACCTCTCTGATTCCGATGCCGGGCGGGAAGCATAGCACGACCGGCACGCATGGCAGCAGCTTTGGCTGCCTCCAGTCAGCATATCAGGGTTCTCTAGTATTCCTTCTGAGGGATCTAAAGGGCCCCATTCCTAGTTCATGGTTGGGATAGGATTAAACATGCTATTCCTTATTGGGTTTAAGTACCCATAAACATGTAAAATGTTACCCAACTATGACAAGGATTCGGGTTTGTTGTAAGGGTTCTATAGGGATTGTGGCTGTGCACTGTGCGCTGCTGCCCTGCTAAGAGACGATGACTGCTACGACTATTCCTGTTCATGCTTGCCTAAACCCGAAGCCCTAAGCCCTAAACTCTAAGCATGCATGCTCTAAGGGTTTAGGGTTTAGGCTTAGATCCTGTCTTCGGAGTTTGAGGGTCTTTCTAGGGTCTAGGGTCCTGCTGGCGGTCCTGCTGGTGAGGGGGTAAGAGGGCTTTATGGCATCTTGAAAGGGTCTTCCAGAGCATTAAGGATTGCAGTGCTTGGGGTTTGGGATCTGTCAAGCAGCTTGGGCACTACGGTTTAGGGCTTGAGGCTTCGAGTTTGCGGAATCTTGAGTCCACCTGCCTCCGATAATAAGCTATTGGCCTAGACTAGGGTTTTTGTGGCATGCTCCACTATAAACAAATTACTGTAAGAAGACCTGAGGAACAGAATGTGTAGCTTCTTTTCACAAGCTCTAGCGTCGCAGCGGACTTCTACGTCTCTACGTTCTCTGGTTGACAACAACCACAACTGTAGCCTTAGCCGCTAAACCCTACCAGACCCCGCGTTGTGCCTCCATAACGATACCTATCTAGCAGAAAAAAGTACTACCCCAGTGCGTACAATAGGGATTGGCATACTACACTAGAGTTAAGTCATCGGGACTATAGGGTGCATTCTTCCTAATTCTCCGGAACCAAACCCCTAAACCCCTAAGTCCCTAACCCCCAAACCCCTAAACCCCTAAACTCTCAACCGTAAACCCTAAACCCTACTACGATGAAGGGGTCTTTTTGGCACCTAAACCCTTAAACTCTACATCCCTAAACCCCTAAACCCTAAACCTCGAACTCTCTAGAGAGGCCTCGCGAGATGCAGCTGCCTGGGACAGAAAGCCTGGGTTGGGCTGTGAGGCTTACTAGGAGGTGCTTTCAAAGCCTTTGAAAAATATTAGTAGGTAAGATCCTCTTAAGCCCAATAAGGGAAAATATAAAATGTCCCAAAGCCCTACCTAGCTTAAGGCTACGGTTTAGGGTTTGGTTTAGGGTTGGGTTTGAGGCTCAAGGGCATGGGGATCTAGGGTTTTAAGAGTTTCGGGATTTCTTAGCGGTTTAAGGGGATTTAGAAGTTTGAGAGTTCTCGGGTTTCTTAGAGGTTTAAGGGTTATACGGGGTTTAAGGGTTAGGTTTAGAGGGCTAGGGGGGTGTAGGGACTTGGGTTTGGTACTACCGAAGAGAACGCTGTGAGACTTCCGAAACTCCTGCAACCGATAGAAAAGCATGCAACACATAGGCTCCCACACCCTAAACCCTAAACCCTAAACCCCTAAACCCCTAAACCCTAAACCCCTAAACCCCTAAACCCTAAACCCTAAACCCTAAACCCCTAAACCCTAGTGTTTGGGGCTTAGTGGGTTAAATTAGGGACTCAAGAAGGGTTTAGGCCCTTTCGGGTTCAGAGAGGCTTAAGAGGTCGGGGATTAAAAGGGCTTCGGGGGTGTAAAAGGTTTGGGGCTTTGGGGTTTCGGGGCTTAGGGGTTTAGGGGTTTAGGGTTCTAGGGGTCTGGGGGTTCGGGAATTTAGGGGTTTAGGGATTTAGTGTTTAGGATTTTGAATCTAGCTGTTGTGCTCTACAGTTGTAAAGGCGTTTAGAAAGGTTTGGAAATTGGGTTTCAAACAGGTTGCTACACGGTTGTTCATAGACCGCAAATCCCTGCTCCCTAAACCCGCAAAATCTAAACACCTGCAAACAAACCCAATTCGAGAAAGTTAAACTGTTCCTGACAAGGGGGTTGGAAGATACTAAAGCAGTTTTTTTGGTTGCCTCATGCGAGGACTCTTGTTTGGGAGATCCACCTACCTCCATCCGACTGTTGAGCTCTTTGAAAAGCCCTTTCTAAGCCGGGCGGCGCCCTCGTCGTGCCTCAACAAGCAGCCGGGACCAGGCAAGGAAGACCTCGTCGGATGAGACCAGAAGTACAGCCTAACCTAAACCCTGAACCCTAAACACTAAACCCTAAACCTTAAACCCTAAACCCTAAACTCTAAGACTCTAAACCCTAAACCCTGCATTGACTAAAGGGGTTCCTTGAAGTTCTTCCGTCAACTTCATACTGCTTCCAATGAGGGTGCCAGAAGGAGGTCGGAGACTCAAAAGTCTCTGTGAGTTTTGGATGTTTAGGATTTAGGGTTTAAAACTTCGGATTTTTGGGTTTTGGGTTGAGGACTTCGGGCTTTTAGGGTTTAGGGTTTAGGACTTCGGGTTTTGTGGTTTAGGGTTTTGGTGTTTTTAAGGTTTTGGGTTGAGGACTTCGGGTTTTAGGGTTTTGGAATTTTTATGGTTTAGGGTTTAGGACTTCGGGTTTTTAGGGCTATGGGTTTTGGGGTTTTTAAAGTTTTTAAGGTTTAGGAACTTCGGGTTTTAGGGCTTGGGGTTTTGGGGTTTTAGGGTTTAGGACTTCGGGTTTTAGGGTTTTGGGTTTTAGAGTTTTTAGGGTTTAGGACTTCGGGTCTTAGGGTTTCGGGTTTTGTGGTTTTTAAGGTTTAGGACTTCGGGTTTTAGGGTTTTGGGTTTTGGTGTGTTTAGGGTTTTCGGGTTCAGGACTTAGGATTTTAAGGTTTTGGGTTTTTGGTTTTTAGGGTTTAGGACTTCGGGTTTTAGGGCTTCTGGTTTTTTTTGGGGTTTTATGGGTTTAGGACTTCGGGTTTTTAGGGTTTAGGACTTCGGGTTGTTGGGTTTTAGGGTTTAGGGTTTACGGGGTGTTCGAACCCGCAGGGCCTTGGGTTTGTGTAGATGGCTTTACAGGAACTCCTGCAAGGACTTGTAGGGACTTGCAGGAATTCTTGATATCAGGAATAGTCTCTACGTTATGCTTCACTGAGGCTCTGGGACCGTAACGTTCAGGACTTAAGACTCGGTGTTTAGGGTTCAGGGTTTAGGGTTGAAGGGTTCGGAATTGAGATGCGGTCTTTAGCACAGGAGGACCCCGGTCAAGCAATGAATGCTTCTGCTCTCTTCGTCGGGAGTCATGAGTCTCAGGAAGACCCGAAGACCCGAGACCATAATATAAGGGCCTAAATAATTACCTATACTATTTTGGGGGTTCCTTATTCGAATGATCCTACAACGGGCCCCGAAACCCTATTCTAATCGCTAAGGCCCCTATATTACTGAGCTGAGTGCTAGGGTAAGTGCTCATGGTTTTTGGAACTTTTCTCAGAACTACCGGGCGTTGCCGGAATCCACGAAACAACAAGCTGTGGGGTTTAGGGTTAGTATGCTCTGGTGCTTCGGCTATTCCTGATCTGGACAAGTCGCCTGCCCATGTCTTTAAGTTGAAACCTTATATGAAGCTCATGCGGGTTACAACTGCGAACGTTTATGTCTGTGTCCCTTGATCTGCGGACTTTGCTGAAGGTGTGTTGTTGGCTTCTTTGGGTAGCTAGGAATTCTGAGCACCAAACCCTATACGCGAAAACCCAATCCAAAACCCTAATATATACGATAAATATAATAAGGAATCCCGAAAAAAGTGTTATTGGAAATTTTTATTGTCAGGCCTCGATATTAAACTCCCGAAGGCCGACTCCTTCTCCTTCTCGTCCCCTCCTCCGCCGCCTCGACAGCTCTTGGGTATCGGAACCTTCGGCGACCTTTTGCGTTCGTCGCGCCGACGGGAGCCAAAAGGGGCGTCTGCGCGCCTTCGGCGTCGTCTCCATGTCCCCACGCCGAGCAACCTCCAATGTTGCTTGCTGGACACGAGTGCCTCCGCGACATGTTCACAAGCTCCTTGCACCACAGCACGTCCCCTTGTAAACACCTTTCAAACCCTTTTATCACTCCCCCTAAACCCTAAACCCTAAACCCTAAACCCTAAACCCTAACCCTTTTATCACTCCCTTGAAAAACCCCTGATAAAAAGACCTTTGTAAACCTTACACATCTTCCGTAGGCCTGTGGAGGTTTGAGCCCTAAACCTGAACCTGAGCCTTCAACCTAAAAACCCTAAATGTCAACCTGTCATCCCTGCAACTAAAACTGCAAACCCAAAGCTCTATAGATGTCAACACAGCTTGTAACTACCTGATGGCTCGGCCATTTTCTCAAGCAAGCCTTGCATTTTCATGCAATTCATTAACGTGAAACAGAAGCGGAGTTCAACACCTCCTTGGCCACAGCCTTCGCATTCCACGTCTTGGCATCGATGAAGCGCAACGTGGGGGAAATGGCCATGGAAAGAAGAGCCTGCCCTTGATGATCTCCCTGGTGCCCCAAATACTTCAATGGCCATGGGCACTTTGTAAGCACAACGGGCACGATGGGAATGTTGTGCTCGTAGGCAAATTTGAGCTCAAAGTAAGTGCATCTCTATACCCTCCTTAGAACCATAACAAAAATGATATTTTGAATATTCTCTTGGGTTTCACATGAACAAAAACTTAGAAAAAGAGTTCCAAAGGAGACTCTTAGGGGATCATGGGGTCCCTGGGTGAGTAGGTAGTAGTATTAGGGAGACCCCTTAAAGGGTACCCCTTCTGAACCCTGCTTCTGGCTCTCTTCAAAGGGGCCTTATTGAGAGGGTCTATATCCCCAAGGGTCCCCCTAATCCTAAATCCCAGTGAGGGGACCTCTGAGAGACGGGCGGTGGGCAGCAGCACTCTCTGATCGCCATCAGCAAAGCTGAGCGCTGCCTGCGGTTGCTGAGGGCATCTACAAGGGCTTAGGTTTAGGGCCCTAAACCCTAAACCCTAAAACCCTAAACCCTAAACCCTAAACCCTAAACCTTAGGGTTGAGGTTCAAGGTCTGTAAGGATTTAATAGGGGTTTGATAGGGGATCTGTAGAGGTTCGATAAAGGTCTTAGAAGGCATCTATAGGGATCTGTAAGGGTTCTAGAAGGGTCCTAGACAAAATCTATAAGGTTCTACAAGAGCCGTTTTGGCGTTCGTGTGAGGTTCAATAATCTTAGGAGTCTATGAGAGTTCATGGCTTCAGGTGTGAGTACTGCGTACGCCCGGTGGGCGCACTTTAAGAACGGGTGCAACCACTTATTTCACGCTTGTGTCAGCATGTACTTCCACAGAGACTTTCATGAGATCGCTAACTGCGACCGCCGGGTCCGGTGTCAGGCGACTCTCATCCGGCATGGCTGCACTCAAGGAGAGCACACAGCAAACCAATTGTGGCTCTTTCGGGCCTTTTTCTGTCTTGGAGACTCCGTAGTCGTAGATCTCTTGGCTGCAGATGACCACCAGCGGCTGCTGCCTGCCGACGCAGGCCTTTAGCAGCATGGCATCCAAAGCAGCAGAAGCTCGGTGACGTAGCACGCAGGGTCCATGCCGTAATGCTCGAATAAGGCTTTGCGGTAGGCTTCGAGAACGTCGGCGAGCGCCATGTCGGTGCAAAGATAGGCATCGTGGAACGGAAGCCGAAATAGTCCACGATTTCGCAAATCTCCTCGTACTTAACATCGCTGCACTTCTCTCCGATACTATAATTGTAACAAGGAACCCCCAAAAACAACATTGGTAATTATTTAGGCCCCTATATCATGCCCTTTGAAAGGCTTTTGTCTGGCATCAGAGCCGGCATCCCCCGGCGGCCTTTCAAAGGGCATGCGGCTGATGATATAAATCCTAGGGTTCCTTTATAGGGATCCATAAGGGTACCTTTAAGGGATCTGGGATTGAAGGTTTAGGGTTTGGGGTTGATGAAATAAATCCTGCATTACCTTCATGACCCCAAACTATGGAAATTCTGGTATATTCCTGACTATGGGTAATGCAGGATTGAAATCATCAACCCTAGGAAGCTTCTTCAAGGGCAGCTTCCAGACGCGAGGCTCCGCTTCCTTCAAGAGCTTCTGCCGCTCCGCCAGCAGCCGGAAAGCTAAACCCTAAACCCTAAACCCTAAACCCAAAGTATTCAGTTAGGGTTTAGGACTCAGGATTCTAAGTAATTATCGAGACCCCTGTGCTAGACAGAGTCCCGATGGAAGGCCCTGTTGCCTCCAACCCCGAAACCTAAGCTGTCAAGTGCCTAAGTTCGAGACGTCTGTGATGCATTTTCGTGGCGTTCAGGGCTTAAAGCTGTACTACAGAGGAGGCCCTTCCAAGCATCCTAGAGAACAGCTTCCGGAATTGGCTCCGCAATTCGACCACTCTTTTGGCCCAAGTGTTGCAACCATGTCCGACGTGAAAGCACCTCCTGTTCCTCCTCCTCAAAGAGGAGTTGCCGCAGGAGTGTAGAACGTCCTTCGTAAATGAATGTCCTTCCTCGTCTGGCCTGTTGCTACGAGACTTTGTGGCCCGCCTGCGACAGGAGCGTCAGGATGCAAAGGTGTGGTACTGTCTGCGTGTCTACAAGATGTCTTGATTGTCCTTCGTCCAAAGCAGGTGGAAGTGCGCAGAGTCGCGAAGATCCTTAAAGCAGAGCAACTGAGAGTGATCAGCGGTCAGTGAGCAGTGACTAAGCTCTGCCAGCTTTTAGTACGTGAGTCAGTGAGTGTGAGTGAGTGAGCTTTGCTGTGACGAACGGTTGCCTGCAGCGTGTATTCTTCGGTGTCGGGTGAGCAGTGAGCTTCGCTCTTTCTTTTCCAAGGGAATGAATGTTTACGGCTTTGAGCCCGGCACTGATCAGCGGTGCGAGCCCTGCCGAAGCAGTGGGTGAGAGAGCCTTGCTGTGACGCGAACTGTTGCACTGTTGCGTGAGCAGCTAGTAACTTCTTCGTTTTCGGTTGAGCGTGAGCTTTGCTGTGACCCGAACTGTTGCGTCAGTTACTAAACTTTTCGGTTCAGCAGTGTGCAAGCCTTGTCTGAGGCAGGGCACGCATGTTTTACGAGCGTTGAGCCCGGCACTAAAAGCGATGACGCTGCGGAGTGGGGTTTGCCTTCTGGCAATGAGGTCTGCCATCTGAGCCAGTGCATGTATGAGCGTTGCCCAAACTGTTGCCTGAGCAGCTGGTAAACTTTTCGGGCTAGTCAGTGACGAAGCCGTGCTTTGACGTAATCTCAGCCTTCTGTTTCTAAAGGCCACCAAAACGTGGTTGCGTTGCGGTGTAGGGTTTAGGACGAGTAAGTGAGCCTTGCTGTAGTCCATGTGGGCAGCCAAAACTCTTTGTTGACATCTAGAAGGTTTTTCCGAATGCACGAATGTGAGCCCGTCATATCATGCTCATTCGCAAGTGCTTCTGAAATGTTGAGCCTGTTGCAAGGTCGAAGCTGAGCGCCGTAGTCTTTTACATAGAGCAACGCGCAGCATGGGAAATCTGGATCCGAAATTGTCCGCTAGCAGAAAGCTCGGACAGGCAGACTCTACTGATCCGCCGCAGTTTGATTCGAGATTGTATGCTGCAGGGTGTGAGGATACAGGCGAGGGAACCTGAACGAGCCCAGCGGTGGCGGGCAAATGATTTCACCCTTAGGACAAAGCGGTGGTATAATACTCAGCTGCCAACTGAGTTTGATTGACTCCGGCATGTCTGGGACCTTCCACCGTTCTAATAGTGTTATACTACCCAAAGGGTGTGTAAGTGGGTTCCCTTGGTTTTTGCAGCAGATGGGGTGGGTTCCCTGTGGGTTCCCTTGTTTTTTGCAACACTTCAGGTGGGCTACATATGGGTTCCTTTGTTTTTTGCAGCATTTCGGGTGGGTCTGTGTATGTTCTTCATTGATTCTTCACTTAGCTTTCTTGTAGATTGCCATGGTTTTTGCAGCATGGACGGTGGGTTCCCTGTGGGTTCCCTGTGGGTTCCCTGGTTTTTGCAGCATTTTTTAAGTGGGTTCCCATGGTTTTTAACAATATCGACGGTGGGTTCCCTGTGGGTTCCCTTGTTTTTTTTGCAACACTTCAAGTGGGCTACATATGGGTTCCTTTGTTTTTTGCAGCATTTCGGGTGGGTCTGTGTATGTTCTTCATTGATTCTTCACTTAGCTTTCTTGTAGATTGCCATGGTTTTTGCAGCATGGACGGTGGGTTCCCTGTAGGTTCCCTGTGGGTTCCCTGTGGGTTCCCTGGTTTTTGCAGCATTTTTAAGTGGGTTCCCATGGTTTTTAACAGCATCGACGGTGGGGTTTGTTGGGTTCCCTGGTTTTTTGCAGCATTTGAAGTGGGTTCCCATGGTTTTCCAGTATACGTCGCTCAAAGGTCTTGGCGGGCTCCCTTGGCTTTTGCAGCATGTCAGCTGGGTTCCCTGTGGGTTCCCTAGTTTTTTGCAGCATTTTTAATGGGTTCCACATGGTTTAACAGCATCGACGGTGGGTTCCCTGTGGGTTCCTTGCTTTTTGCAGCATTGCAAGTGGGCTATATTGCGCAAAGGTCTGGGCGGGCTCCCTTGGCTCTTGCAGTGTGTCAGCTCGGTTCCCTGTGGGGTACATGTGGGTTCCCATGGTTTCTCCAGCTCGCGCATTATGTTTCAGAGAAGAGTGGAACTGAAGAAGATGTTCAGGACAGTGGCTGCAGGTGTGGCCCAGTTCCATCGCACATATTGCGCTGCATTTGGATTTGCTGCTTTGAAGTAAGGCTGCAAAAAGCACGTCTGCTGTTTGCAGTTTGGGTCGAGACCAAAGACGTTAAATAGGCTCACCTCTGATGCACATGAGGCTCGCCGCCCTCCTATTGTAATGCTCTTGATAAGTTTGCTGCGGCTAAATGCCACGCTGATGCGAGGATTTTGCGGCAGGTACTGGCAGATGTTACTCTCAGATTGTAGCTTCAACTGTTTCGATTGCTTGCTGTACGTGCGCGGTGCTTTGCGCCTGGAAGCTCCACTTGCAGGAGCTCTTTTTTCCTACAGAATCGTAGGAAGCCTCGAAGGGCCTCCCCTGTGTGGGAAAGATCTTGTACGAACAAGAACAGAAGCATTTGTCTTGAAATGGCAGCCGATGGCAAGTTTGCCAGAAATAATTCACATTTCACAGCATGTTGGCTTTCTTGGACGTTGATCCAAACAGCATGCGGAAGGATTTTTATTTTCCGTGCAGTTTTCCAGCTGAAACGGGTTCCAAAAAGCAGCTCTAGTCCGGGCACCGAAACGGGCCCCAGATTTTGGCTTTCTTCGTTGGACATACAAGCTCACGCAATTCGGGGCCCCAAATTAGAGCTCAGATTTGGGAGCCATTTCTGGGGCCCAGTCATACCGTTTTTCGTCGAGCAGATGCCACCTCTGCGTACACAGCTGGCCGTTGCGTGCAACCGTATATAAACCTCGCCAGCTCTGTTTTGCATTTTGCCGGTGTTCCTTCAAAATTCGAAATAACAAGGGGAGCGCTCGGAAACATGTGAACCTTGCAAACAGAACTTTCTCACACTGTGTGGGAAAGATCTTGTACGAACAAGAACAGAAGCATTTGTCTTGAAATGGCAGCCGATGGCAAGTTTGCCAGAAATAATTCACATTTCACAGCATGTTGGCTTTCTTGGACGTTGATCCAAACAGCATGCGGAAGGATTTTTATTTTCCGTGCAGTTTTCCAGCTGAAACGGGTTCCAAAAAGCAGCTCTAGTCCGGGCACCGAAACGGGCCCCAGATTTTGGCTTTCTTCGTTGGACATACAAGCTCACGCAATTCGGGGCCCCAAATTAGAGCTCAGATTTGGGAGCCATTTCTGGGGCCCAGTCATACCGTTTTTCGTCGAGCAGATGCCACCTCTGCGTACACAGCTGGCCGTTGCGTGCAACCGTATATAAACCTCGCCAGCTCTGTTTTGCATTTTGCCGGTGTTCCTTCAAAATTCGAAATAACAAGGGGAGCGCTCGGAAACATGTGAACCTTGCAAACAGAACTTTCTCACACAGAGGAGGCCCTTCCAAGCATCCTAGAGAACAGCTTCCGGAATTGGCTCCGCAATTCGACCGCTCTTTTGGCCCAAGTGTTGCAACCATGTCCGACGTGAAAGCACCTCCTGTTCCTCCTCCTCAAAGAGTGGAGTTGCCGCAGGAGTGTAGAACGTCCTTCGTAAATGAATGTCCTTCCTCGTCTGGCCTGTTGCTACGAGACTTTGTGGCCCGCCTGCGACAGGAGCGTCAGGATGCAAAGGTGTGGTACTGTCTGCGTGTCTACAAGATGTCTTGATTGTCCTTCGTCCAAAGCAGGTGGAAGCGCGCAGAGTCGCGAAGATCCTTAAAGCAGAGCAACTGAGAGTGATCAGCGGTCAGTGAGCAGTGACTAAGCTCTGCCAGCTTTTAGTACGTGAGTCAGTGAGTGTGAGTGAGTGAGCTTTGCTGTGACGAACGGTTGCCTGCAGCGTGTATTCTTCGGTGTCGGGTGAGCAGTGAGCTTCGCTCTTTCTTTTCCAAGGGAATGAATGTTTACGGCTTTGAGCCCGGCACTGATCAGCGGTGCGAGCCCTGCCGAAGCAGTGGGTGAGAGAGCCTTGCTGTGACGCGAACTGTTGCACTGTTGCGTGAGCAGCTAGTAACTTCTTCGTTTTCGGTTGAGCGTGAGCTTTGCTGTGACCCGAACTGTTGCGTCAGTTACTAAACTTTTCGGTTCAGCAGTGTGCAAGCCTTGTCTGAGGCAGGGCACGCATGTTTTACGAGCGTTGAGCCCGGCACTAAAAGCGATGACGCTGCGGAGTGGGGTTTGCCTTCTGGCAATGAGGTCTGCCATCTGAGCCAGTGCATGTATGAGCGTTGCCCAAACTGTTGCCTGAGCAGCTGGTAAACTTTTCGGGCTAGTCAGTGACGAAGCCGTGCTTTGACGTAATCTCAGCCTTCTGTTTCTAAAGGCCACCAAAACGTGGTTGCGTTGCGGTGTAGGGTTTAGGACGAGTAAGTGAGCCTTGCTGTAGTCCATGTGGGCAGCCAAAACTCTTTGTTGACATCTAGAAGGTTTTTCCGAATGCACGAATGTGAGCCCGTCATATCATGCTCATTCGCAAGTGCTTCTGAAATGTTGAGCCTGTTGCAAGGTCGAAGCTGAGCGCCGTAGTCTTTTACATAGAGCAACGCGCAGCATGGGAAATCTGGATCCGAAATTGTCCGCTAGCAGAAAGCTCGGACAGGCAGACTCTACTGATCCGCCGCAGTTTGATTCGAGATTGTATGCTGCAGGGTGTGAGGATACAGGCGAGGGAACCTGAACGAGCCCAGCGGTGGCGGGCAAATGATTTCACCCTTAGGACAAAGCCGGTGGTATAATACTCAGCTGCCAACTGAGTTTGATTGACTCCGGCATGTCTGGGACCTTCCACCGTTCTAATAGTGTTATACTACCCAAAGGGTGTGTAAGTGGGTTCCCTTGGTTTTTGCAGCAGATGGGGTGGGTTCCCTGTGGGTTCCCTTGTTTTTTGCAACACTTCAGGTGGGCTACATATGGGTTCCTTTGTTTTTTGCAGCATTTCGGGTGGGTCTGTGTATGTTCTTCATTGATTCTTCACTTAGCTTTCTTGTAGATTGCCATGGTTTTTGCAGCATGGACGGTGGGTTCCCTGTGGGTTCCCTGTGGGTTCCCTGGTTTTTGCAGCATTTTTTAAGTGGGTTCCCATGGTTTTTAACAATATCGACGGTGGGTTCCCTGTGGGTTCCCTTGTTTTTTTTGCAACACTTCAAGTGGGCTACATATGGGTTCCTTTGTTTTTTGCAGCATTTCGGGTGGGTCTGTGTATGTTCTTCATTGATTCTTCACTTAGCTTTCTTGTAGATTGCCATGGTTTTTGCAGCATGGACGGTGGGTTCCCTGTGGGTTCCCTGTGGGTTCCCTGGTTTTTGCAGCATTTTTAAGTGGGTTCCCATGGTTTTTAACAGCATCGACGGTGGGGTTTGTTGGGTTCCCTGGTTTTTTGCAGCATTTGAAGTGGGTTCCCATGGTTTTCCAGTATACGTCGCTCAAAGGTCTTGGCGGGCTCCCTTGGCTTTTGCAGCATGTCAGCTGGGTTCCCTGTGGGTTCCCTAGTTTTTTGCAGCATTTTTAATGGGTTCCACATGGTTTAACAGCATCGACGGTGGGTTCCCTGTGGGTTCCTTGCTTTTTGCAGCATTGCAAGTGGGCTATATTGCGCAAAGGTCTGGGCGGGCTCCCTTGGCTCTTGCAGTGTGTCAGCTCGGTTCCCTGTGGGGTACATGTGGGTTCCCATGGTTTCTCCAGCTCGCGCATTATGTTTCAGAGAAGAGTGGAACTGAAGAAGATGTTCAGGACAGTGGCTGCAGGTGTGGCCCAGTTCCATCGCACATATTGCGCTGCATTTGGATTTGCTGCTTTGAAGTAAGGCTGCAAAAAGCACGTCTGCTGTTTGCAGTTTGGGTCGAGACCAAAGACGTTAAATAGGCTCACCTCTGATGCACATGAGGCTCGCCGCCCTCCTATTGTAATGCTCTTGATAAGTTTGCTGCGGCTAAATGCCACGCTGATGCGAGGATTTTGCGGCAGGTACTGGCAGATGTTACTCTCAGATTGTAGCTTCAACTGTTTCGATTGCTTGCTGTACGTGCGCGGTGCTTTGCGCCTGGAAGCTCCACTTGCAGGAGCTCTTTTTTCCTACAGAATCGTAGGAAGCCTCGAAGGGCCTCCCCTGTGTGGGAAAGATCTTGTACGAACAAGAACAGAAGCATTTGTCTTGAAATGGCAGCCGATGGCAAGTTTGCCAGAAATAATTCACATTTCACAGCATGTTGGCTTTCTTGGACGTTGATCCAAACAGCATGCGGAAGGATTTTTATTTTCCGTGCAGTTTTCCAGCTGAAACGGGTTCCAAAAAGCAGCTCTAGTCCGGGCACCGAAACGGGCCCCAGATTTTGGCTTTCTTCGTTGGACATACAAGCTCACGCAATTCGGGGCCCCAAATTAGAGCTCAGATTTGGGAGCCATTTCTGGGGCCCAGTCATACCGTTTTTCGTCGAGCAGATGCCACCTCTGCGTACACAGCTGGCCGTTGCGTGCAACCGTATATAAACCTCGCCAGCTCTGTTTTGCATTTTGCCGGTGTTCCTTCAAAATTCGAAATAACAAGGGGAGCGCTCGGAAACATGTGAACCTTGCAAACAAAACTTTCTCACACTGTGTGGGAAAGATCTTGTACGAACAAGAACAGAAGCATTTGTCTTGAAATGGCAGCCGATGGCAAGTTTGCCAGAAATAATTCACATTTCACAGCATGTTGGCTTTCTTGGACGTTGATCCAAACAGCATGCGGAAGGATTTTTATTTTCCGTGCAGTTTTCCAGCTGAAACGGGTTCCAAAAAGCAGCTCTAGTCCGGGCACCGAAACGGGCCCCAGATTTTGGCTTTCTTCGTTGGACATACAAGCTCACGCAATTCGGGGCCCCAAATTAGAGCTCAGATTTGGGAGCCATTTCTGGGGCCCAGTCATACCGTTTTTCGTCGAGCAGATGCCACCTCTGCGTACACAGCTGGCCGTTGCGTGCAACCGTATATAAACCTCGCCAGCTCTGTTTTGCATTTTGCCGGTGTTCCTTCAAAATTCGAAATAACAAGGGGAGCGCTCGGAAACATGTGAACCTTGCAAACAGAACTTTCTCACACTGTAAGATTGAGAGACTGGGTTCGGGACGATTGGGGCTTGGCATTTACTGACCCGATACCCTAAGCCCTAAACCTACACCCCTAAACCCCAAAAACCCGAACCCGAAACCCGAGAGATCGGGGAGTCCGAAACCATGGGGGCGGTGGCGCTGATACAGTGATTCCTGCATTGCCTTGATGGGTTGGGGTTTGGGGTTTGGGGTTTCGGTTTTTTAGCTCCTTTTTCCGTCTGCAGATGTCTACAGGTCAGAAGACCATGAGGTCTGGAGCGGGAGCTTCATTTCGAAACTCCCGGGTTTAGGGTGTAGGGCTTTGGGTGTTGGCCGTGGAATTTACTGTTAAAGGTGTGATGCGCCCCCGTCGGATTCTAGGGAGGGTTATCGACTTGACTCATGTTCTTCATTGCAAGCAATGCCATAATGATATCTAAACCACAAACCCTAGACCCTAAACTCCTAAACCCTAAACCCTAACCCTAGACCCCAAAGCTGTGGCTTTCGATGAACTCAAGGATCGCCCCATGAAGACCCGATCTCCACTTGCTAGTTCGGCTTCAGCATCCCCGTCCTGACGGTTGATGATAGAAGCCCTGCATTACCCAAAATAAGGAATATACCATTATTCCCATAGATTAAGGTCATTGAGGTAATGCAGCATTTATATCATCAATCGTAATCACAGCAAGCCGGCAACCCTTCAATGTTAGAGCTTGCACTATACGGGCCTCAGAAATTAGAATTGGGCTTTGGGTTATGCTTCTCAGGTTTTGCCAGAACATCTACTTTTGGCACTCCCAAGAATAAAAGTACTGGTACCAACTATTCAGTGCTCTATATCAGGGCAATGCAGGAGCCTCTCAGCACTTTGTGGAAAAACTCTGTTGTTGCATGTCTTTCAAAGCCTGAACAACTAGAGTGGAAGGAGCCAGGGTGTATGCCCTTACAGCGAGACCGAGAAAGTTGGAGGATGGATTTAGGATCGTTAGTGCCAGAACTCGATATACTTGCCTTAAGAGCATGAGGATGATAATGCTCCGTACGCCGTTAGCAGAACCAGGAGCAACGATGCCATGGATTCCTAAACCCTAAACTCGCAATTCTAGTATCCCTTGTTGAATGCCCTACCCACACCGCCTTCGCCACGCGGTCCTTTGCTTTCGCCTTCAATGCCTGAACGCTTTGCAGGGCTGGAAAGCTTCCGTCGGGTGCGCTTCCTCCTTTTGATAAAGGGGCCTGAATAATTAGAATAGGGTTTCGGGGCCCATTATACTATAAAAAATGAGGAACCCCCGGCAAAATGTAGGGTTTAGGGATTTCGGGCTTCTCTTAGGGAGGCCCTGTGCGCGCTGTGCCTGCGCGCTTCGGAGCCAACTCGAAAGACGATTTCCGCAACTGTCGGTGTACTAACACATGGGTGGTTGTCAAAATTAGGGTCCCTTTTTGGGGTACCCTAAATATTCGGTGCCGTATTATAATAGGGACCCAAAAGGGGCCCATAATTTTGACAGCCACCCACATATTTCCAGCGTGGTCCTGCTAGAGGGGTTGTAAGGGTTCCAGCAATCGGAGAAAGTCCTTTGCTTCGTACCTCAATGCGGTACAGGAGTTGCATACCTCTTCGTCACCCTTGATCAACTTGAAAGACCCAGAGACTCCAATATCCCTTAATTAAGGAATATACCTTAAATCATATTAGGGATCCTACTATAATTTGAGATTCCTGAATGAAGGGATATTGGAGTCTCTGGGGACCCCGTGAATATGCCCGAATCCATTGACTCGCTGGAAGGGTTCTGGGAGATCTGCCCCGTGGTATTGTACTGTCAATAGAGCAGCGTGGTCGAGGGGATAACTTTGATACCCTCGAATAAAAAGAAGCTTTAACACCCGCGATTCTGCGAAGAAGGCGAAACCAGAATCCATCCATCCTTTTTCGGTCGTTAGGGGTCACTGTCAGGGAATCGAGACCTTATGAAGGGATAGCGACAAAGGTTAACCTGAACATTAAGTTTGGTTTTGACCGAGTCTGGAATTCCATTCGAGCCTTCACTTCTTATAAGCTGCTTCCGCTAGGCCTGCTCGATGCAGGTAAGCTGTCTGGAAGGGGGGCGTTGAAGAAGAGAGCATGTCCGTGGCGGTAGCGAAGCTGGGCAAATAGCAATGCCTCTGCACCGATCTCGGTCCAACAGACCAGGCGCGAGAATCCCGAACGGCCCAAGGGGCGTCACCTCACCGGAGACTGCCCCAAATGCACAGGAGCAGATAAACAATGCGCAGCGCCTCGGCGGGCGAGCAGTCCGGATTCAAATCGAACTTGACGCTCCATGCCGCAATTTGTGCTGTTTTCGGGCTTTTGCCTTGGCGATGAGTTCGATCAAAAGCATTTCCTGTGCTGTGGGTTCAGGGTTTAAGGGGTTTAGGGGTTTGAGGGGAACAACTAACTGATGAACTACAGACATGCTTAGGTTCATTCCATGCTACCGTAAGGGTTTATGGGTTCGGGGCTTTGGGTCTACAGGCGTTGCCACCAAAACCCTGCACCCCCTGAGCCTTGAACTGTTGGGGAGTTGAGCTATCAACCTAACCTCTAAGAGCCCTACACCCTAGACGCCTAGATCTTAGACCCCAAACCCGAAACTCTAGAAATCATGTATGTAAATCCTGACCCTAAACCCTAAACCCTAAACCCTAAACCCTAAAGCCTAAAGCCTAAACCCTAAACCCTCAACCCTAAACCCTAAACCCTAAAGCCTAAACCCTAAACCCTAAACCCTAAACCCTAAACCCTAAACCCTATAAACCCTAAATCATTTGCACCAGAGCTGCCAAGCTCCCCGAACCCTGCAGCCAAAACGCGAACGCCCCTAGATCCCAAACCCCAAACGCCTACATCGCTGGGAGGTTGGGGTTTAGGGTTTAGGGTTTAGGGTTTAGGGTTTAGGGTTTAGGGTCAAACACGATTCTGTTGAGCTTTCCGAGAACCTACAGAATCAGTATGGCCGTACTTATTAGCTTTGCAAACCAAGTAACTACACCTCGGGGACTTAAACCTAAACCCCACCTAAAGCCGCGCCCTTGAGCTGATACATCACCGAACCTAAAAGTTCCAGAGACTCGACAGTGATCCTTTGTCAAAATCAAAACGATTCCCATATGCAGTAAAGGTAACACAAGTAACAGTATTTGTCATGCCATAACGATAGTAGTTGGAAGCATAGTAACAACAACAATACTGTAAACATCATTCTAATCACAGTCATGACCATCTCCACAAGCATATTCATCACCACAATCACAACAATAACAACAATCTTAGTTAGTGTCTGTGCATTGATATTAAAGATAGTAGTAAGAGTGCTGACAATACCTCAACAAGAAGCAACACAATAGCAATTGTGTCATAACTCTAATGATAAGATAGTCATCACGAGAAGAAGAACTCAAACAGTAATGATCATACCGCTTCTATTAATGAACAATAGCAATAGTGGTAGTAATAATAATCATCATAATAATAACAATAGAAAATGTATCAAATAAAAACCATCATAAACATCATCAAAGCAGTCCTCCTGGACCTTGCCCTGAAGCGAAACCTGGGGCCTCGTCGCCCCGCTTCCTGCGCTCATCGCGGCTTAGCCGCGACCACCTTCATCTGGGCTCTTGTTAAAGGGGCTTAGGGTTTAGGGTTTCGGGTTGTGGGGGTTTAGGAGTTTCGGGTTCTTGTTACGGGATTTAATTTACGTTGCCATACGAATGAACCATATTATCTACTATACGTCCCGATTATGGTATCTTAAATTTCATCTAAATACATCCCTTAACAAGAACCCAGCCATCGCCACCGCTGTGAGGCTCCGTTTGTCGGGCTTGCAATGGTGTTGGGCGATCTCCTGCATGGTTTCCTATGTCGGGGGAAGCCCATTAATATAGGGGCCTAAATTGTTACCAATGCTATTTTGGACGTTCCTCATTATAACTATAGTACCACAGGCCCCGAAATCCTATTCTACTGATTAAGGCCCCTATGTTATGACCAAATTCAATTGGAGCTCATACAGTAGCAAATGTTGCGAATGCTGTCGAGCTGCGGCAGAAATGTAGTCAGCACCAAAGATGCCCCGGCATTGCCTTTGCAGGTCGTCGTAGAGAGGGTTATGGGTTGCTGGCGTGAGGTTAGAATCGTGTTGCTGTTGTTTTTGGTGCCGTTGTAGCGCCGGCCGTGGTGATTGAGGGTGATGATGCTGATGATGATGATGACGACGATGATGATGACGTCATGTGGATGATGATGACTGATGGCGGTAATGATGATTGTGATAATGATGAGGATGGTCATGGTGATGGTGACGGCGAAGGTGATGGTGATGGGGGGGTGAAGGTGAAGGTGATGGTGACGGTGGAGATGATGGTGTTGATGGTGGTGGTGATGATGGTGATGATGACTTTGATGATGAGCCTGCGGATGATGAAGAGGATGACGATGCCCATGGACATGATGATGAGGAAGAGGGGGAGATGATAAGAAGGGTGAAGGTGATGACGATGATATACTATGCTGCTGAAGATGATGTTGATGATGTTGGGAAGGACGAGGATGATGAACATGATGGTGGCGATGATAGTAACGATGAGGCTGATGGGGAGCAGAAGGACGACGTCGAAGATGACGAGGAGGGTGAGGAGGATGATGAGGATGGTAGAGATGATGGCGATGATGACGACAATGATGATCATGATAATACTCATGGCCATGATCACGATTATGACACTGATGAGGACGACCATGGATGGGGATGATGAGGAGAAGGAAGAAGAAAAGGAGGAGGAGGAGGAGGAGGAGGAGGAGGAGGAGGATGAGGATGATGAGGATGACGAGGATGAGGATGATTATGAGGAGGAGGAGGAGGAGGAGGAGGAGGATGCTTGTGAGGATGAGGATAAGCATAAGGATGAGGATGATGCGAATGATGAGGATTTGGATGATTATGTTTTAAGAGAAGGAGGAGGATACTGGTCTTCATGAGGACGAGGAGGAGGAGGAGGAGGAGGACGAGGACGAGGACGAGGACGAGGACGAGGACGAGGACGAGGACGAGGACGAGGACGAGGACGAGGATGAGGATGAGGAGGAGGACGAGGATGGGAATGATGTGATCGAAAGACTGACGACGAAGGTGAAGACGAGGGTAAGAAGGAGGCAGAGGAGGACGAGGAGGCGGAGGAGCACGAGAAAGACGAGGCCGACGACACGGACGAGAAGGACGAGAAGGACGAGCAGGAGGCACGGGAGACGCAGCAGCGGAGAAGCAGGAGGAGGATGCAACTGAGGGTCCATTCAGAATCACCATCATGACGGTCCCCGTCGCCGTTGCTAACATCATCGTTATCATAGCAGTCGGCGTCGTCAGCAGGATGATCATCAGTCGCTCGCTCTTCGTCTACAGCAGCAGCGGCAGCAGCAGCAACCACAATAACAGCATCAGAAGCAGCCGCAACAACATCGTCATCGGCGGCCTCCTCCTTGTCCTTGCCGCCCCGCTAGCAACACCATGAAAACCCCCAGCATCATGGTCACCGTCTTCGTCATGGTTGTAGTGCCATCAACGTTATCATCCCCCTCATCATGATCATTTAGGGTTTAGGGTTTAGGGTTTCAGCATCCAAAATCCTCGTCCTCATCATCATCCTCATCATGATATGCAACATCACCGGCAGACATTGTTCGAGCTTCACCTGGTGTCCACCCTCACTAGTAGCCCTCCTCAGAAGGCTTTCCAGAACACCACAAGCCTCAACCTGAGGGTCAAAGGTGGAGAGATTCCGCTGTGCTTGGAGGGTCGGGGGACTAAGGAAGTAGGTAGTAAGTAGACTTCTAAGTACCTTAAAAGGGACCCTAATTGGGGTTCTGGGACTTATAAGTCCCCAAAATAACCAGTTACTAAGTCCCCTGACCCTCCAAGTGGGGTTCAGGCTTAGAGGTTCGAGGGATTTCGAACCTAGGGTGCTACAAGGATTGTTGAAGGATCTGCATCAGGGCCTCTATCAGGATGCTACAAGAGCTCTCGTCTCTAGTAGTGTTAGCGCGTCTGCGATATCGTTCATTTCTAGGCTTCAGGATTTGAACGTATGAAAACCTGCACCAGCGTCTCCCCGCCAAACTTGCCAACAACAGTCACGAGCCCCTGACAGCAAACCCTCCGGTTCGAAACCCCCGCCCTCAACCATGCACCCTAGGCCCTGATTCTCAATTCCTTTACCCGTACCCCTGGACCTAAGCCGAAGCCCAAACCCCTAAATTCTAAAGCCTAAATCAACCCAAATCCCAGCAAAACCCCACAGATCTCTGTAGAAAACCGTTAAAGTATCATCTGTAGGACCTTTAGCCCACTTTAGTCGGCCGCTGAGGCCTGCGATGAGACGTGCAGCGATCTGGGCATTCCGACTGAGAGGTTGCCTGCTGGTCGCATAGCTGGAGGGCTCCTTTAACGAAACCCACAACCCTAAACTCTATCATATCCTCATACAGCTCTTGAAAGAATCCCATAAGGGCTTGTTTGAGGGATCCTATTCCCAGAGAGCCAAATATCCCTTAATTGGGGAATATAGCGTCAATCCTGATATAATGTGAAGCCCCTTATGCTGTAAAGTATACGTAAATAAGGAGGTGTTGGGCTCTCTGGGTACCGGCTACTTTACGGCATCCTACAAGGGTTCTACAGGGGCTTGGGTGGGAGGCTGCTACGGTTTACGGGTAACAGTACTGCTAATTCCTGGGCAAGAGCTTTGAAGCTTTCGGGTCGTGGCTTAGGGTGTTGGGGGTTCAAGGATATCGCTTTAGGGCAAGGGTCCACGGCTCTCCGCTGGGACACCGTACTGCAATTAATTCCGGAACCCGATGGAATAATGCTGCCAATTATTCTGATCCTTTATTTTGGGGTCTAAACTCAGACTTCAGTGTGTTGGGTTCTGCATTGAAGCTGTAGGGTTGTGAGCCCTCAACGCTAAGCCATAAATCCTGCACCCTAACTTCAAAAAAACATGTGGCCTTGGGGCTCGAATATCATTGTTGCGGGCTTCAGGTTCTCAACTCTGAGTACTAAGCCCAGGGCTTTAGGTTTTAGTAATAGGGTTTAGGGTTAATCGTAGGCCTTAACCACGCCGGAGCCTCTTGCAAAACCCCGGGACCCCAATGAAAACCCTGCACAACCTTCGCGAAGCAAATAGTAGTAGGGACACATAATTCAGCGGTGTTGATTGCATTAACAACCCCTAGGAAAACCCTTGCTAAATGCTACTAAGTGCCCTTTCAGAAAACCTTACAAAACTCCGACAGATTGCTCAAAAAACTCCGGCAAATTCCTTACAAAACCCTTCATTACAAAAAAAACAACCTTACAAAACCCTGAACAGAAATCTTACAAAACCCTGAAAGCAATCCCAAAGCCCGCAAGAAGCGGAGCTAGGGGGCACCTGAGCTGCGCCAGCTCCTCCGTGGCTTTCTCTAGGGCCACCCGCAGCGAAGCCGCCTCCTTCCTTAGAACAGTAGTAGGTACGTCGTCGTAGTAATGTAGAAGCAGGAGTAGTAGTAGTAGTAGTAGTAGTAGTAGTAGTAGTAGCAGTAGTAGTAGTAGTCGTGGTAGTAGTCGTGGTAGTAGTCGTGGTAGTAGTCGTGGTAGTAGTCGTAGTAGTAGTCGTAGTAGTAGTAGTAGTAGCAGCAGTAGTACTAGTAGTAATAGTAGTAGTAGTAGTAGTAGTAGCAGTAGTAGTAGTTGTTGTTGTTGTTGCTGTTGTTGTTGTTGGTAGCTGTTGCGTCTGCCGCCGCGCGGGGTGGTGCGATTCCTTTGCTGGCGTGTGCTGAAACTCGAGCTTTGGCACTTTGTTCGCCCGCAATTGAACTTTGCGTTTGCTTTCGCATCGGTTTTTGAGGTGTTTTCTAGCAAAAAAGTGTGCCAGCCGGCGGGCTGCACTGTGCCAAAAACATGTTCAGCTCTGCAGTTCGCCTTTGTTTTCTGTGTTTTCCTGTGTGTGTCCCATGTCGCATCGGTTTTTGCCGGATTTTGCCGACTCTCGACTTTGTGCGCATGCCGGCTGGGGGGTGGGGGGGTGATGACGTCCATGCGACTGCGACTTTTGTTTTCTCTTTCTTTTGTTCACCTTCTTCTGCTCCCTTCTGGTGCGCTACGTTCCGGTGCGGTACATTGGTGGGGAGCCGGGGGGGAGTGGGAGGCGGGGTCATGACGTCCATTCGAATGCGACTTTTGTTTGCTGTTTCTTGTGTTCACCTTCTTCTGCTCTGCCGCACATCACCATGAACATGACAGTGCTGCTCCCTGCTGGCCTTGTCACAGAGTTACTTTTGAAACGCTACCAGTTGCTTTGTCAACCCGTGCTTGCCGTTTCTTGTTGCTTCGCTTTGGAAACGTCCACCATGCAAAAACCTAGAGTTTTTGAAGCTTTCCAGACAAAAACTTCGCAAATGACCCAAAAAAACAACATAAATCAAAGACGAGAAGCATGGTATTTGCGACGCTTCCGCAACAACCCCACCAAAAGAACAAGACAATAAGTATTAAAAGAAAAAAGTCCAAAACACCTTCTTGTTGACGAAAACCACGCAAAACTCAGGGCTTTGCGCTTTTGGCAAAAAACCCAAAAATAAACGACACAACCCGCACGGCGGCAGACGCAACAGCTACCTTGGCGTTGTTCTACTAGGAGTAGTACTGCTGCTGCTGGTGCTGCACCTTCTCCTTCTTCGTCTTCTGGTTATTCCGATTCTTCCACGGTTACTACCCAAGCATGTGTTTGCCGCTTTCTACTTGAAACTTACAACAGGCTGTACAAAGTGCAGATGCTTACCAATTCTGCTCACAGACGCATTTACACAACTGTGGTAGCACACTTTCTGCTTCTTGCTACAGTGCATTTGTTAAACCCAAAATCTAAAATCCAAAACCCTGAAAAACCGAAGCCGAAAACCCCCAATCCCGCAACTCCCAAAAGAGGCCCAACATGTTGAAACCCAGTCAAAACCCCTCCACGTTGCTCCCAACATCCCCCGCCCAGCCGCTCATAGTCCCGGGGAGGCTCCACAGTCTGCTGCACAGAGTGATGCAAGCAATCTAAGCCTCGGCCAGAAACGAAGGGGGATCCTTTAACGACTCGAGCCTTTTAGGGGTGAGGGGCTTTAAGGGTTCCTCTAGGGGTTCATTTAGGGGCTCCTGTTTATGGGTGCCGTTACAAGCTCCTTTCGGGGTTCTTTTAGGGGTGTCTGGGGTTTCCAATTTGAGGGCTCCTGTGAGGAACCCCTGGCTCAGTTGGCATGGACGACGGGGCAAACACATGGAAACATGACGAAACTATGTACACCCCAGTCAAACACCACTCATAAATCCTAAGCCCCAACCCCTAAACGATAAACCCTAAACCCCAAACCCTAAACCCCAAACCCCTAGATGACGGTATAAGACGCAAGCAATTTGGCCCCTAACCCCTGCTCCCACAACCATCACCTCTTGGAGGTTCATGGGTACTTACAAATGGGCTTATGGTAGTTCTAAGGGTTTTTTCTGAGGGTCCCATTAAAGGGCGCTTTAGGGATTTAGTGTCTACGGTTTTGGGGTTTAGGGGTCAGGGTAGTTATAAATGGGCTTAGAAGTCCCCTAATGTGGGCTATAATTATAGCTACCCTACTTATAGCCCCACTTATAACTACCCATGAACCTCCAAGTATGCCCTAAACCCTATACCCTTATCGAATCCCTATAGATCCCTTTAAAGGGACCTTACAAGCCATAAACCTCCAAGCTGAAGCCTAAATCCCAAGGCTCAAACTCCAAGGCCCCAATTCCAAAGGCCCCTTTTGGAGGGTCGAGGGACTAAGTAAGGGGATTCTAAGGGTTCCTTTAAAGGGCTCTATAAGGGTAGTATAGGGTTTAGGGTTTAGGGTTCAGGGACTTAGTAAGTAGGTAGTAAGTAGACTTATAAGTACCCTAAAAGGGACCCTAATTGGGGTTATGGTACCTATAAGTCCCTAAAATAACCAGTTACTAAGTCCCCCGACCCTCCAAGCAATGCTGTGCCACAGATTTTGGAGTTTGAGAGGCGTTGCCAGTGGAAAGCGCGTGATCAACACCGGCTTTCAAGGCTCCAGACAAGTATGCATCGGGAATAGTGACCACTTTCCGCTCCGGATTGGCACGGTCACCTGCTAAAAAGGAGCACCGGAGTTTCCTTTTAGATTTGTCGTAACTCTCAACTCTGGCTTGCTGGCCAGATGGAATGGAGAAACAAGTATCAGATACAGCATCAACTTCTAAAGAAACAGCAACCTTTGCAAATGAAAACTCCTTCGACGATGCTCCTTGTTCAGCAGGCCCGCAGGACCGTCAGAACTTTGCCATCCATTCAAACTTGGATTCCCGCCACACCAAATGGATCGCTTGCATGCAACTTTGGAAGTAGGCGCCAGGAGGCCTCGTCACTTGTTGCAAAATGCTGTCCAGAAGGCGACTCTCAGAAGCCTCCGACTTTATTTCTGTAAGGAAGACATTCAAAGCAACTCCCTGTCTTGGAAGGGCGAAGATGCCCTTTGTTCCGTCCGAGGAACGTCCGATGTGGCAGCCCTCCAGGGGACCAGAAGAGCCTTGCGGGTAGAAGAGCGCGGCTGCACCGCTATTTCCTGCCTGACAACGGACTCCCTGGTCATGAAGGCCGACTACAACCTCTGCAGTAGTCTTCACAGGAGCTGTAGTAGTCGCATCTCCGTAACATGGCGTGGAGGAGTAACAGGCAAATTCGCCCACCACCGGCTTCGTCGCGTTTGCTTCCAACCAGAGGAATTCTGGTGTATTGTGGTTTAGGGTGTAGGGTTTAGGGTGTTTGTGGCTTAGGGTGTAGGGTTTAGGGTTTAGGGTGTTTGCGGTTGAGGGTGTAGGGTTTTGGGTTTAGGGTGTTTGTGGCTTAGGGTGTAGGGTTTAGGGTTTAGGGTGTTTGTGGCTTAGGGTGTAGGGTTTAGGGTTTAGGGTGTTTGTGGTTTAGGTTGTGAAAAAGTGCCGGATTTAGCGCTCAGGGTTTGGGATCGTAGGGCCTACCCGTCTCGTTTCGGATCTTCGATCGTTTTCGGAGTTTGGTTTCATGGGCTTTGGGTCTGGCAAGCGTGAAAGTACAGCAGGGATATAACTTAACAGTTCTCTCCCAAGCGCTAAAGTAAAGGGTTCTGAACCCTAAACTTGATAGAGCATCATACTATCGGCAGAAGTACAAAGTACACTCATGCAGCTACGATGCTAGGAACCTTGATCTGCTTGTCGGGTATCATGGGGAACTAAAGGTTAACCTTTCTGGTCATATATGGCTTTTATAGGGACTATACTACCCCAAAAAAGGTTAAAGGTTACCTGCTCTACTAATTTCCTACTAGGTGTAGGAACCCAATTAAGAAACCTTGGGGCCTTTATGAGGGTTCCCTATATGGGTGTCCTTATTATAATACGGCACCTAAGATTTAGGGTGCCCAAAAAGGGACCCCAATTTTGACAACCACCCATATGAACACAAGCTGAAGAGACTGGGACTGCGCCAAGCCACCCTGCTCACACAGTCGGAGCACTCCTGCTGCATTCTGGGCTTAGGGCTTATAGGGCTTAGGTTTAGGGTTTAGGGTCTATGGTTTAGAGTTTAGAATTTAGGATTGTCAGCGAAATATCCATCGGGCTTCACAAGGCTGACAGGGCGCGGTGCCCGAAGCGCCCTCTGTTCCTAGAAAACCCCAGGGCCGTCAGTTAAGGAACAAAAGCCTGAAACTGTGCTGTGGTTTACGGAAATATCCTTCACAGAGGGCCTGTGGCTGAGGGTTCAGGGTACAGGCTTCAGGCTTTGGGGGATCTTTTGCGACAAGATGCTGATTCAACAGCTTTAAGCTGCAAATGCCGGACTGCCTCCTGAACGCTAAACCCTAAACCCGTAACCCTAAATGTTCTACTCTTGCTTCCCCTTCCTCCCTGCATGCCTCAGCCGCAGCTTCGGTTTAGGTTTTAGAGCTTTTAAAGGCCTATAACCCTTCAACCCTAGCCCTAAAGCCTAAACCCCAAATCCTAAACCCTAACCTTGAACCCTAATCCTGAAGCCTAAACCCACCGAAACTGTGGAGTTTAGGCTTTTCAGCTTAGGGCTGCCGCGACCCCGGCTCGAAATTGTAAGAATAAGACCAGCAATAAGAGTAACTATGGGTCTGGGATTCAAGGGACGAAACTCTGATTAGAGAGGCACTGATGACGACAACATGAAGGATGTTAGGAGGACCCGGAGAAGCCACAACTTTGTAACAACGAACAGCAGAAAATATGTGTGGGCGTGTTTGCATCAGGATTTCCGCATTATCTTCACATACTCCGAGACTCCCTGATTCAAGGCCATCTTGAACATGGAAAGGATCGTTGATAAGGAACCAATATTCATGGTTAGTGTAGAGGGCACCCCTATGGCCATCGGAGTTTTCAGCATCGGGCTCCCGAAGTAGACGACCTCCTATCTTCGCTCTGCCACCCGGAGCCCTGAGCCCTACGCTATTTCAAAAATCCCCCAAATTGCATATAATTAGGGCTCTATATTAAACAATCAGGGAAATTACGACTTATCTCAGATCGATACCTAATTGAAGACTAAACCCTCAACCCATCAATCCAGCACCCCAGCTCCAAAGGCACAACTCACAAATCCTGAACACGATGGCTTGAACCCCAACTATGAAACAGACTGACGATCATGCGGCATGCTTCATGTTAACAACACGACGAAGCCGAAGAGCCGTTCATGACAGGAACACTGCTGCTAGCATCACCATCTCCTGCTACTTTTCTGCAAGGGGTCTTTTCTGTGCTGTCTGCGCAACAAGCCCGTTTCACCTTTTGGGTCTAGGGTACATACCTACGCCCTCAACTATACTAATAACCTCTAAAACCTATCGCCGAGAGCTTAGGAAGCTCCTTCGAAGCACGGATTCAGCACTGTCCCGAGCAGCGCCGATGCCCTGATGGGGTTTAGGGTGTAGTGTTTAGGGTTTAGTGTTTGGGGTTTAGGGTTTAGTGTTTAGGGTATAGTGTTGAAGGTTCACGGTTTAGTTTGGGTTCTTTTTTGGGGTTGTGAAAGTTCTATAAGAGTGTTCAGTGCTGTGAACGATTGGGACGATAGAGCAAAAAGACCGGATCTGGGGGCGTCTTCTCATGTCGGGGCCAGTAGGGTACTTCCTACTAGCATCATGACTGCAATGGCGAGAGACTGTAGCCGAATAGCCATCACCGTCATCATGAACATCACGAGTTTTCTGGGCGTTGCCGCTGTTGCGAACCTTCAACCCCTCAAACCCTAAAACTTCTGCGTGATCTCAGAAAGCTCGTGAATCCTACATCCGAATGAAAACCCTAAACCCTAAGCCCTAAACCCTAAACCCTAAACCCAAAACCCTAAACCCTAAGCCCTAAACCCTATGAGACCTGAACCCGATACCCTAAACCCTAAACCCCGAAAGCTGCCGGGCCGTCTCGGCTGCTGGGGCAGCTCCTGGCGCGAGAGCGTCGGCTTGGGACTGCTTTTTTGGGGGGGTCCCCGAAGGAAAGGATCCCTTTTCGGCTTAAAGCTTTTTAGGGTTTAGGGTTTAGGGTTTAGGGTTTGGGCGTAGAATTTAGAGTTTGCATGAGGGTTTGGGTGTGGGGAGGGCTTACGGTTTTGGGTGCAGAGCCTTTGTCTTTAAATTTTTCGAAGCAGGGAACCAAAAAAAATCTGGGAAAGGTTCTGAAACCATAGCAGAGGCTGGGGAATGTTTAGAATAGGGTTTCCTTATGAGTTATAGTATAATATATCCCCATATGGGTAGTTGTCAAAATGATGGTCCCTTTCTAGGCCCCTAGTATAGTACCGCACCTAATATTTGGGGTACCCAAAAAGGGACCCTAAACCCTAAACCCTAAACCCCAAACCCTAAACCCTTTTGACAACCACCCATATGCTATGTTCAGCCCCGGGGGTCTCAGGCTTAGGGCCTTCACGGTCCCTGGTGAAGGGTCTGAGGTTTAGGGCCTTAGGTCTAGTTCGGGTTTAGGGTTTAGGGTTTAGGGGTTTAGGTTTAGGGGTTTAGGGTTTAGGGGTTTAGGGTTTAGGGTTTAGGGGTTTAGGGTTTAGGGTTTAGGGTTTATGTTTAGGTCTAGGGCCTTTAGGGTGTCAGGCTTTGGGTCTAGGCTTACATAGAGTCTTCAAGCCCTGACCGAAAACCCACGCTACAAAGCGCTCAACCTCGTCTGGGTTAGGGTTTAGGGCTTAGGGTTAAAGAGTATACCTTAGATGATGGCTTAGGGCTGGCGGTTTTGCAGTTCGCGGGCGTGTGTTTGTGAATTGCTACTATAGGGGCCTTATTAATTCGAACAGGGTTTCCTTTAAAGGGTCCTTTAAAGGGGTCTGTATTTGATCTATAGTAGGGTTCTATGATATAGGGGCCTTAATGAATTAGAATAAGACTTTGGGGCCCATTATACTATACCTATAATAAGGAACACCCAAAATAGTATAGGTAATTAAGGCCGCTAGAGTAACAGCCCCGAACTCCTGGATTGGCAAAGGCCAAGACGCCTGAAGCACGGAACGTCCCCAGCCTGAAAGCGTGGCACCCCTACACAAAACGCTACCTAATCCGTGCGGGAGGTTACAAAATGACAAAATGAGAGCGCCTGTTTCATGTCTAACACCCGCTGGAACATCATTCCCAAAACCCTGATACCTACTTCGGATAAGTATTCAATATGAAGCTCTGAACAAATCCAAAAGATTTTGCGGGTGCCATGACATGGTTGTATACTGTAAGGGAACCCAGAGAAACTCTAGCTCATTATCCCGAACCCCCGAAAGACCCTAAATTGCGAACTTGAAAACTTCTGAGGCCCTTACAGAAACCCCCTGGCAGTATCTTTATAGTACCCTCAAAACAGATTGAATGAATCCCTTGTAGGAACCCCAGCCCTTTCTTCGAGATCCTCCTCGACGGCCGCCGTCTCCTGCGGCGGCAGCTCTTCCACGGCCAGTGGGAGGTCCTGGTACCTCAACGGTCTGGGGCTTTGGGGTTTAGGATCCACACCTTAGCTAGGATACCCAGTAACCTATGAATAAAAAGGCCTCTCTTTTTGGTGTTGGGTAACTTTATAAGGAACCTAGGACTACAAAAAGGGAATAAGGGTACTACTGGGCATCCTAGTTAGGGTTTAGGATTCAGGGCTTAGGGCTTTAGGGGCTTTGCAGCTGCAGGCTCTGTGGGTTTAAGGTTCAGGGGTTCAGGGCTCTACTTGGAGGGTTGGGGGACTTAGTAACTGGTTATTTTAGGGACTTATAAGTACCATAATCCCAATTAGGGTGCCTTTTAGGGTACTTATAAGTCTACCTACTACCTACTTACTAAGTACCCCGACCCTCCAAGTAAGATGAGTCTCAAGGGTTGGGGTCTAGGAGCCCCAACTGCTAAGGTCGGGCGGGGCCTTGGTTTAGGGTTTAGGGTAACTAGAAGTGAACAAGTGTTGCCTCTTTAAGGTGCTTTGAACAAAAGCGGGCGTACCGGGTTTCATGATCTTAGTATCGGCTTGGGGCTTACTTATATGCTTGCTGGGATTAGCAAAGAAGGTCTCTGTAAAGAAAACCTTGGTGGAAAGCACTTTCCTACATGGAATACCAACTACAAGAACCAGAACTATACGACTATGACTGTAGTTATGTAAACACTATCGATGACCATGGCACGGCATAATAATCACATACTCATATAAATACGAGTAAAAACATAATAGTCCTCATCATGATCAACAGCATCATCATCATCATAACAGTTAGTAAAACTAACCATACCAATAAATAGGTCATAATAACAATGTGATCATAGTAACAGTAGTAGCAACAGTAAGAATGAGTAATTGTGATGCTAAGGAGATAATAATATCACATATGCTACAAGCACTGCTAATGTTGCTGCCAATAAGAGGAAGAAGAATCGCAATACCAGTAGCAAAACACATCAAAACATGACTGATAGTAAGATCAAAAATGATAACAGGGTCTCTCGCGGGCCCCTCTTCCGCAGGCTGCTAACGTGACTGGTTTAGGGTTCAGGAGACTCAAAAGTCCTATGTTTGGTAAAGGTCAGCATTCCCCTGCACACACCAAAAAAGGAATCCGTTGCTAGCTATTGCGACGATTACGAATCCATCGCTAAACGGTCGAAAATTCAAGTACTGCTATTCTGACCCCTAAACCCTACAGCCCTAAACCCGTAAAACCGCAGAGGTCGCGCTTGGCGCTACCAAGATTATGACCATCATCATCATCTAAACCCTACACCCTAAACCCTAAACCCTAAATCCTAAACCCTAAACCCTAAACCATCATCATCATCCTTGCTGAGGCCCTTGCTCTGTCCCGAGGTAGCCGCGCAACCGCCAGCCACCTCAGGGCTTCGAGCTTTGCGGGCTGTAGCTCTAGGATTTTACAATGTCTGACCATGCTTTAGAGTTTTCAAAGATTAGGGTTTTTATTAAGGGCCCAAAGGTTAGGCTTTCAGGCTTAGGGTTTAAGGTCCAGCGTAGGATTGATCTTGCTGGGTAAGGTTTTCGTGTTTCATAATGCTTACAGCTCTGTTAACACTTACGAGGATGTACAATGCTTTTTGCAGGGTTTGTGGCAGGCCTGATTTTGTTTGCACGGGGTCTGAAGGTCTGGATACGGCTCTTTGTAAGATACTGACCAGCTTTATCAAGTCTTGCGGCGGCTCTTGTTAATTAAGGAAGTTAAATTCAGTCCAGAAAGAAAGGAAACCATACTGCTTACTATAGATCATGTTGCGCTTCAGGGTTCAGAGCTTCAGGGATTCCGGAACCCCCAAGGCGAAACTCTGAAGCCCTAGCCCTAAACTCTAAACCCTAAACCCTAAACCCTAAACCCTAAACCCTAAACCCTAGCCGCAAGCCATAGTGAGTCAGGGCTTCAGGTGCTCAGATCCCCATTGAGCCCAGATCACACGCTTTCCGTTCAGGCATGGTGCCGATTGCTCACTTGGAGGGTCGGGGGACTTAGTAAGTAGGTAGTAGGTAGACTTATAAGTACCCTAAAAGGGACCGTAATTGGGGTTATGGTACTTATAAGTCCCTAAAAGAACCAGTTACTAAGTCCCCCGACCCTCCAAGCATCATCGGCACCATCGCCATCTTCGGCCACATCCCCATCGGCTGCATCCTCGCCTTCATCGCCATCGCCTTGTCATCTCATCAACTTCATCGTCGACAGCATGGCCACCATCTCTCAGAATCACCGTAATGTGTTTGCATGTATGTGTATGTGTATATATATATATATATACATATATATATATATATATATAGATCTCTCTCTCTCTCTCTCTCTCCGCATGCGTGCGTGTTTTAGTACACCAAAGATGTGTGTGTACATGAAAATTTCGTAGGTCGCCCGCTTATTTAGGTGCGTATTGATTTGTTCGTTGTATCTGTTGATATGCTTTCTTAATGGGTGATTGACTAAGCTAGTTAGGTAGCTAGCTGGTTAGATAGTTTAGTGAGTTAGTTAGCTGGGGGGGTGAGGTGAGGAGTGGGTGTGGGCACCACCCCACCCCACCGCACCTGTGGGGTGGTGCGGATGGCGGGCGGGGTGGGGTGGGGGCGGGGCGGGGTGGGGTGGTTAAATACATACTGGTACATACATACGCACATACATATATATATATATATATATGTATATATACACATATATATGTATGTATATCGTAGCCTTAGGTACATAAACCTCAGCACCTGCGGGAGGAGACTCCGGGCCCTCGCCGCCCTCAGCCCAGAGAAGCGCTTTCTCCCCAAACGCCGCACCTCTGAGTCCGAGTTAGGGTTTTGGCTTTAGCGTTTAGGGTTTAGGGTTTGACGGGTCTAGGGTTAAGGATTAGGGTTTAGGGTTTAAGGTTTAAGGTTCAGGGTTTAGGGTTTAAGGCTCAAGGTTTAGGGTTTAGTGTAGTGGCCTGAACAACTAAAGGGCTGGGGGGCGGGGGTACATTATACTATATACTATAAGTGTAATAAGGAACCCCCAAAATTCAAAACCCTATTCTAGTTATTAAGGCCCCTACAAATTAAGGTTTGCGGTTGAAGGCAGCACCTCTGAGTTTCGTTTAGAGCTCAGACCCATAGGGTTCATATAAGGTGCTCCTACAAAGCGTTCTTGTAAGGTTCTTCTAAGGGTTCCTGGAAGATAAACCTCAAAACCTAAACCCTGAACCCCCCTAACCCCCTAAACCCTGGACTCTCAAACCCCTGACCCTGAACCCCTAGGCCCAAAGCCCCTAAACCCCACCTTTACCGTCTCTTGTGGCTGTGCCAGGCTAGCAGGCGGATTCAGAAAGCTCTAGGTGGGTGGTTGTCAAAATTAGGGTCCCTTTTTGGGTCCCTATTATAATACGGCACCTATTATTTAGGGTACCCAAAAGAGGACCCTAATTTTGACAACCACCCAGGTGGTAGTTTTAACTTCATTGTTTGCAGGGTCGTAGACACAGAGAGGACTGCCTGCAGTGTGATATAGTGGTTGTTCTTGGTGAATAATCTAAGGCGATACAATGACTAAGCATGAAAATGTTGCATAAGGCTTTCGGGTTTAGGGCTTCATTTGAATTCAATCCGAGGGTTCAGGGTCATTAATGCTGCTGTCATACCAACTTAACCATGTACAATGCTGGAGAGCTGTAGAGAACAGCAGCAGTATCAATGACAAAACCCATGCTGCGAGTCAAACTCAGCCGTCGTTGCTGCAAGGAAATCCAGCTCATGCCCGCAAACCCCCTCGTTCGTAAATCCCGCACCCTGAACCGGAGCCCGCAAACCCTAAGCCGCACAAGCCCTAAACCCCTAAACCATAAACTCCCGAAGAGCCCCAAACTCCTAGAGAACCCTGAACCCCAACACAACGCACTACCCCTGCAAAGCATTCATCCAACCCGGGACCGAAGCCCAAGAACGCAGAGTCCCACCGGCCTGTTTCCGCAAGCCACCAGCCCGGATCCACACCGAAGAGGCCGGCATCCCAGTAGAGAGCCCAAGTTCCCTTCTCCTGGGTTTGGGTTTAGGGTTCGAGCTGTAGGGTTTTAGTGTTCAAGTAGGCCTTTGGGTTCAGGGTTGGGCCCAAGTTCCCTTCTCCTGGTCGTTGGTATTTTGACTGCGCTTTCCTGGTCTATAGGGCCTAGGGTCTAGAGTCTATGGGGCTTTGGTTCCCGGGGGTCAGGAGTTCGGATTTGCAGGCTTTTTCAAAGAGATGGCGGCGTTGACGAAGGTTCCTTTCTGCAAGCTGACAGCGTGTGTAAACCCTAAACCCTAAACCTCTAAACCCTAAACACTAAACCCTAGACCCTAAACCCTAAACCCAAAACGGTATTGTGGTTATGACTGGTTATGCCACGTGCTCACGTGTCGTTACGGGATCTCCTCTGAGCTCTAGGGCAGGTGTAGGGTTTACAAAGCAGAAACCCGGAAACTCGAACATTGAACCTGATGGCCCCGAAGGGAAGCGCTGGGAATCTTACACCTTTTCCTCCAATCCGTTTTCGAATTTTCTGGCCTAAACCCTTGACCCTAAACTGCGCCTGAAAGCTTAAGGCGTTTTAGGGTGTAGGACATGGGATCTGGGTCCTAAGTTTAGTGCGAAAGACTCTCGGGTGCGGGGCTCACGTGTCGAGACGTTGAGCGAAGGATCTCGGGGATCCTCGTCGTAGGGTTTAGGGTGTATGGGTTTAGGGTTTGGTGGTTCAGGTGTAGGGTTTAGGGTTTAATCCTTCGTCATTCCTAAACAACAAAAAGGTTCTGTGGCAGAGTCTAATACAAATATTTGGACCCCAAGGAACAGTACTTGCAATTCGTATAAATTATAGGGGTCCTAGGGCGAAGGGTTTAGAGCTGAAGGCTTAGGCTCAGCAAGCTTGAAGTCAATTTCCTCCAGAGTCCAGAGGACCAAAATATCCTAGACCCTTTAAGGTTTGTGAAACGAGAATTTGGATCCCACTAAAACTAAAGCTACAACCCGAAAACCCTGAAACCCCTTCGACCCCAAAACACTCAAGCACGCGCAATGCCAAAAAGCAAACAAGACGAAAACCATCAGATCCAACACAATAGAGCCCTGAAAAACCAGATTTGTTGGGCTTAGGGTATAAAACACCCCCTTAAAGCGCTAAACCCGGGCCAGTCCTGGTGAAAACAGCGCTGGAGTACGCGGCCGACGATCACCTGGCGGATATGTTGGGGATTACTGGTAGGGGCATTGGGTATTGCTTACAGGTTGGGCTTGGGGTTTCGAGTTTGGGCGTTTAGCAACCGGTAGCAATGATTGAAGATATTTGTTAGGTTTAGGTTCAGGGATTTAGATTCATTACTAAGATTTCCTGGCATTCCCTACGATGACGACAAGTGGGAACTCCAAGATATAATAACACTAAAGACTTATGGGTTTATATGTCACCTAGAGAGGTCGTTGGAAGATCCCTATTCAGTTTCAGAGAGTTTAAGGTCTCGGGTTTCCTTCTGAGAGGTGAGGAGAGATCGCGCCCCTTCTATCCAAAGCGACAGGGTTTATGGTTTTCATTTGTCATAGGGACCCTTAGGGGGGTAGGGGAATGGGGGGAATGGAGGTAGGGGACTGTATTTCCTTAAATAGGCCTTATTAAATCCTTATTACGGGCAGTAAGGCAAGGCCCCCACCCCCCCCTCCCCCTACATCCCCCAAGGGTCCCTATGAATTTGGGTCACTCAGAGTTTCAGGAACTTGGGGATTCTGGGATTCGAGCGTCGCTGCTTCAAAGAAGCTTGCAGCCTTCTTGAGCTGCTTGGTTGTTGAAGTCCCCATCTTCGTGAGTTCTTTGGCATGGATATACCAGCATAATATGAGGGGCCTAAATAATGGATACAATAGGCCTTGGGTGTACCTTATACTGTATTTATACTAAGGAAGCCCCCAAAATGGTATCGGTAATTATTAAGACCCCTATAGTATCCGACCTAGCGGCGCTTATGGAGTGAAGCAGACTTTCACTTGCCTAGTATAGGGGCCTAAATTATTACCAATACTATCGTGGGGGGGTTCCTTATTTTAGGAAATGTGCCCCGAAACCCCAGACTAGCCCTGTCCGCCATCCGAAACACCTCACTGCCACAAACGCGCGGCGATGTGCTCGCACGAAGAGAATCCAAGTCAAAACACCTCGTGGCTGAGCACTGAAAGGCGTCGAGACACGTTGTTGACTTTCCTCTCGACCAATCTCGCGCCGAGTACCTCGCCCAGCCCGTGTCGCTTCGCCAGAACAGCGGACCCAGAGACTCCAATATCCCTTAATTAAGGAAATATACCTTAAATCATATTAAGGATACTATAACTTAAGGTATATTCCTTAATTAAGGGATATTGGAGTCTCTGGGGAGAGCGGCTTTCTGCCTCTCTCCGAGCCCGGAGCAGTTGTTGGGGCTGAAGGCCGAAGTTCTCCTTGGGAAAAGAGACGGTTGATGATAGACATCCTGGGGTTCCTTTAAAGGGACCTTTAAGGGGTTCCTTTAAGGGGCTCCTTTAAGGGCTTTATAGGGGGTTTAGGGTGTAGGGTTTAGGGATGTAAATCCTGCATCACCCATAATACGGAATATACCATAATTTCCCTAGTTCAGGGTCCTTAAGGTAATGCAGGATTTACACCATCAACCGGAGGACTCTTGCACATCGGTGGAACCACGGGGTTGCACCAGTGCAGCAGGAGCCAAAGTCCGTGCCGAAGATGGCCTGGATAAGCGAAGAACACCCCAAAAAATGTCTAGGTTTCATAAGAATTGGCATGGGCTCTCCTGTGTACTCCAACCTGCTGTGTCCACCATAAGCAGCATACCATAGTTCAATTCGCTCAAAGCACTGAAGCTAAACAGGCTCAAACTGAATATATCATACCTTGATTGGCACAGTTTAAGGTACTCGTCAAAAGGCCGTCCAGCAACAGGTATGTAGGCCCTCCTTCATGACAAAAACCTTCCTTGAAGGAGGACTACAATAAGAATCAAAATATTCTTCAAGTGCTTCAGGCATCAAGGGAGGTTCATTAACCACGGGTCTCCATTGCAACCTATACAAGCCCTTTCGACCCCTGATGCACAGAGCCCCGATGCTACCCGGACGTTTACAGGAAACCCTAAACCCTGCATAGACCCTAAACCCCAAGGCTCCAGAACCCTAGCCGCTAGGGCCGCGGCATGGTAGATGTTGGCATGCGATGCATGGGGAGGATCTGCAGGAGGCAGCAGGCTGGAGTACCTTGCAGCTTCCGGCCCTTTTGACGGTCAAGCGGGTTCTAGAAGGCCAATCCTTTCAAAAGGGCTCCATAAGGGGTCCTATAAGGGGTTTGGGGTTCAGGGTTCTAGAAGGGCCTATCATTGGTTTCAAACGGGCTCCTCCACAAGGGGTCCTATAAGGGGTTTACGGGCTTTGATAAGGGTTCTATGAGGTCTCGACAAAGGGTTTGTGGCTCGCTGAGGTATTTATAAAGGGGTTCCTGGAGGGGCTCGGCAAGGGGTTCTACAGTACACTTGAGAGTTCTACTGTTCCATGATGGCTCGATAAGAGCTATATTAAAGGCTATAGGGTTCTGGATTTCGGGCTGGCGGTTTGTTGACAGGTTTCAGGTTTGGGACGTTAGCCTTGACACCAAAACCTTTCCCGGCTTCAGCGTGCCGATTCCGAAGCCCCTTACTTAACCCTCCCAAGACCCTCAACCCTAAAACCTACATCCTAAACCCTAAACCCTTAACTCTAAACCCTCGACCCGAAACCCTACAACCTAAACCCTAAACCCACTTTAGTGTTTAGGGCGAAAGGCTTCGGATTTCGCACCTGGGCTGGGACCTCGCCCTCAAACCCACCGCGGTTGGAGAGGCTGTTCGATTGCTGGGCATTCTCCAGGGACCTCCAAATGATGACGGTTCTTGAAAGAGTTTATGCAAAAACCCTGATGAAACGGTTTTGACCTGCAGAACCCGTATAGAACCCTGATCGCCCGAACCCCCAGAAAAGAAAACAAGCCTTCAAGAACCCCCAAGCAACCTCCCTAGGGAACCCTAAACCCTGTTTCAACCCTTATCGAAGCCTTGATTCGATCCTCAACCCCAAACCCCAAAACCGAAAGCTAAACCCTTAACCCTCAACCGTAAACCTTCAAGCCTGAACCCTGAACCCTAAAGCCTAAACCCCTAGCCCTTATGGATCCCTTTAAAGGAACCCTTATAGATCCCTTAAAGGAACCCCCGTCACCTGCCCAAAGCCGCAGTCAGCTCTTTTGGCCATGCGCTTCCCTCTGTCGGGGCCACCTTGAGGCACCTGCTTGGCAGAGGGATAAGGTGGTAGAAGGGATCCGGGATTCTGGAACCCTAAACCCTAAACCCTAAACCCTAAACCCAAAACCCTAAACCCTAAACCCAAAACCCTAAACCCTAAAAAAGAAGGGATCCGGGATACTAGAACGAAGGACTGATATGGGGGGGCTTTGGGCTGTGAAGCTTTGGGGTTTAGGGTTTAGGGTTTAGGGTTTAGGGTTTAGGGTTTAGGGTTTAGGGTTTAGGGTTTAGGGTTTAGGGTTTAGGGTTTAGGGTTTGCCGTAGAATAGCGCGTAGGCGAAAGTAATTTGCGACAAGATCGTGTCAAGTGCGTTGTACTACTGCGAGTAGCTGCGAAAGCCTGATCATGGAAGGCTTTTCCTTTCTTCCTATCCCACCCCACGCCGTATGAGGCGGCCAAGCCACCCAAACCTATTCCTTTTAGGGTTTAGACCTAAACTCAGTTAGGTCCCTCTTGGCCTCAATCTTCCCCCTTTTGACCATCAAACTTCTGAGGGCCAGGGCAGGGCAGGGCAGGGCAGGGCAGGGCAGGGCAGGGCAGGGCAGGGCAGGGCAGGGCAGGGCAGGGCAGGGGCAGGGCAGGGGAGGGCAGGCAGCAGGGGGCCAGGGGGGCCAGGGGGGCCAGGGGGGGCCAGGGGGGGCCAGGGGGCGCCAGGGGGGGCCAGGGGGGGCCAGGGCGGGCCAAGGGGAACAACTGCCAAAAAAAAACGCCAAGCGCAATTTTTTGCCCAGAGCCCCCTAGGACCGGCTCTGGAGGCCCTAGGTCCTTGAACTCTGCTCGCTGGAGGCCCCAGGCCCCCCTGGGGGGGTCCCTTTCTGGGGGCATTTTCAAGGAGGCAAAAGGGCACCAGTCAGGGTTAGGGTAATGACTTTATTAAGGGACCAGTACTGGTCCCGAGGAGAACCGGCTCCGGTACCGGGCCTGACGTGGGTGCTACCGTCCCCATGGCTGTGGAGAGGCGGGCAGGCGTCTTGGGTCGCTCTGCGCCATCGAGGTCGAGGGGCTTAAGCGCCGCCCACCCACAGTAGGTGGGCGGCCTATGCCTTGAGTTTAGGGTTTAGGGTTTAGGGTTTAGGGTTTAGGGTTTGGCGCATAAGCGGGAGTAGCTTGCGAAACATGTAATTTCGAGTGCATCGTCCTCAAGCGATTCAACGTTTGAGCCTGATTGTGGTTGGCTCTTTTTATTCACTCTCCCACCCCACGCCGTCTAAGGCGGCCAAACCACCCAAACCTATTCCTTTTAGGGTTTAGCACCTAAACTCAGTCTACGGTTTTCTTTTTCTTCAACTTCAGGCGGGGCAAAGGCCAGAGAGCCAAGGCCGGCGAAGTGAGGGGGCCAGTGAGGGCAGGGGGGGGCCAGGGGGGGCCAGGGGGTGTCAGGGGGGGCCAGGGGGGGCCAAGGGGGGGCGGGGGGAGTGGGGCCAAGGAGGCAAAAAAAACAGTTTTTGTCCAGGTCTCCCCCTAGGACCCGCCTGGAGGCCCCTGGGTCCTCGAACTCTGGTTGCTGCAGGCCCCACGCCCCCCCTGGGGGGTGCCTTTTTGGAGGGGGGCCCAAATGGCTTGGTCCTGCATGGTGAAGGGGGTGGGGGGTATTTACTTTAATAGGGACCAGTCCCCATGGCTGTGGAGAGGCGGGCAGGCGTCTTGGGTCGCTCTGCGCCATCGACGTCGAGGGGCTTAAGCGCCGCCCACCCACAGTAGGTGGGCGGCCTATGCCTTGAGTTTAGGGGTGTGGGGCTTCGATATCGTCCGAATTTCAGGTTTGGCGCGAATCCTCTTGTTGCCAGGTCAACAGCTACAGCCGCACAGGAGGCATTAGGTCAGACGTTCTCGGAGAGCTCCATATCCTCATTGATGTAAGGAATGTTTCTGAAACTAGGCTGGGGAGCCTGTATATGATTCAATATATATGTATATATATATATATATATATATATATTGCATATGTCACAGGTCTTGCGATTTCTGCCTTCAGACTGTACAGTAGGGCCACGTGGATTCTTGGGTGCTCGTCTTCTGGTCAGCAAACTTCAGCAGCGGTACTGAGGGTGGTAGAGAGTGATTAGACAGAAAGAGGCAGTAGACAGTAGGCAACAGGCCGTAGGAAGTAGGCTGTAGGCCTTTGTCGTACGCTACCGCTACTGCTGCTGCTACTGCCACTGCTGCTTCTACTGCTACTGCTACTGCTGCTGCTACTGCTGCTGGTAAGATGTCGATGACGACGTCGACTGGCACTAGAAAGACCTTCTTCCCCTTCTATGCCTCGCAGGCCCGGGTTGGAATTTTTCTGGCACCGAGCATTCCTGGCAGCCCTCTTTGGAGCCAGTCTCACTCGTCAGGTTCGCTCTCAGAAGAGTACATCCCGCCATCACCAGAAATAGGAGCAGGCTGGTTCCTGCAGAAAGCTTTGGCATGGGCCTGAACCGTTAGAATCAGTTTTTGCTGTAGTTTAATCAGGAATACTATTCCAAATTACTCAGGCCTTTGTAGCACGTTTGTGGGTCGGAAGTTTCCCAGCTTCATCCGCAAAGCTAGTTTAGGGCTTAGGGTTTGGGCTTTTGTGTGTTTTGCGGTTAAGAGTTTAGGGGTTGAGGGTGTGAGGTCTCGCATGGACAGGATACAAAAAAACTCGTTGCCTCCAGGTCTTGACTTACTCCATAAACCCTACACACTTGTGGTGGTTGCCCACCTCTCTCTCTACATTATATAGCAGCCTTAACAACCCTAAACCGTCAACTAGAATCAGATTATTGTGTTGGAGCATACTGTACTGTAGTTCTAGTAAGGAAACCTACGGCGCCTGAGGAATCAGGTTGGTAACAACGGTAGCAGTACTGATAATCGTGAGAATGGTGATATTGGCAATAACTGTGTGTTGCAATCGTGTCATATTGGTAGCTATTCCCGATTCAATATTACACTTCATACTAGATACGAAATCCTGAACCCGAAGCTTGAAGCGCCCACCCCCAACACCCTAAACCATGGGAACCCTTATGCCATTAATGCTCCCTTTGCCGCACACTCCCCTCTGAAACCTGTTAATCGCACCCTCTAAAGCCCTTCAAAGAGCAAACCCTAAACCCCAAACAACAAAATCCTCTTTGCCGTGTCCTGGGCTCATGCGTATCCTCGGACTCGGACAGGAAGCCTTGTAGCAAGTCCTGGTTTCAGCTACAGCCCCCGGAAACCCCATAAGACTCTTCCTAAACAACAAGAATTCTGAAATCCCTACCACCCATCAGAGGTTGAATCCATCTTGCTTTGAGGGAGGAAGCGGTTTGGAGCTGCAGTTTTCGTGGTAAGGTCTCGGGTTCAGGGGCTGGGGTGCTATTTTGCAGGCTTAGGGTTGTTTAGGGTTTAGGGTTTAGGGTTTAGGGTTTTGGGTTTAGGGTTCAGGGTCGGTTCGTCGGGCATTTAGAGCGCAAAGGGTCTCCGGATTGCTCATCAGCTGAAACTTGCATCGGAATCCTGTGACCCCTTCTAGGGTTTTTTCCTTCTAGAGTTTAGGGTGTAGGGTTGGGGTTTAGGGTTCGGGGTCCGGCATAAGGATTTGAGGGTTGACGGTTTAGGGTGCAGGAATAATACTCATCCCAACACCTTTAAACCGGATGCCTCCTGTACTCCAAACGTTAATGCCTACAACGGCATCTTCCACAATTCTTAAGTGTTGAAAAACCTGCACGGACACGGAACTCCGAACATCTAGGACTGTTGGCTTACAGGTAGAGCCCCAAGAGCTTAAAAACTATACCCACATATTATCTGCAATACGAACCACTATGGTAACCCTACCCTTCGTACGCACCCTGCTCATACCGCTTTCATACCCTGAAGCCTAAACCCCAAACCCTGAAACCCACTACGAGCGCTTCGCCTGCATCGCATCGTCCGCCGCTATGGCCGCGGCGGCCCCGGCGCGGGCAGCCTCGGAACGCGGCGCGTCGGCATCGGGCCGAGGAGGGCGACGAAGGAGTGCCTGCAGCTGCTGTTTCTTAGAGGGTTTCCATAAGGTGTTTGTAGACATAACCCAACTGGATACTGCTCTCATGACGCTTTTAAGGCATGACATACACACGACGAGCTTCTGTAAGGTCGTTGAAGGGCTGTATGAACATAACAAGGTTCTGGAAGGCTTCTAGAAGGGTTTGAAAGGTCTTTGAAGGCTTTAAGATAGGCTTTGAGGGCATCGTCTTCGAAGCAAGTGCTTGAAGACAGTGTTGAGCTTCGCAGAAAGGTTTCTTAGGGGTTCTGACAGGGCTCTATAAGGGTTCTAGAACGGGTACTGTACTTGGTAGACTACAAGGCTTGGCGGATAAATTGCTGGAGTTTCCGTGCAGGGCCCTAATTATGACGCAGCTCAGGGTGTAATTTGATTCCATTCGGTTGTGACAGACAGGTTTATTTGAGCGTATTGCAGTGCTGAAGGGTAATCCAGGAAAAGCTGCAAATCATCTTACAGAAAGCCTTTGAGATGCCTATTTTTCATTGCGATAGGCAATGGCAGTGAGAGCAGCAAGAATGACAATCGGAAAAGGACTATGAGAAGAAGCGGAATACAGTGGCGGAGAAGAAAATACATCATGATAACCCTAAACTCTGAACCCGAATGTCCTGCTGTTGACCTGGCAGAACAATCACGGCGACAAGACTGATACTGATGTGAACAATGACATCCAACGCGGCTCTGCCCTTGCAATGTAGGAGCCTTAGCAACTAGGATACGGTTCAAGGCTTAGTACACAGGGGCATGAGATCGTAGTCCTAGATACTGCTAGTTGTTACGCCGACAGCACAATGCCATGCTTTAAACCAAAGCTCCCAACCCCAAGCCCAAAACCCCAAACCCGGCAACCCTCAACCGTGGCATGTTGTGCCCTCAGCCCCAAAGCCCCCTTTCTTCAAAAATGGGACCGAAAAAGGTTCAATTATGTAAGGCCGGCAAGCTTAACGCTCCCCATTGGCTGTCTAAGTATAAGATACTATGGTATACCACAATATACTATAACATTACCCTGAACCCTAAACCCATAATACCCTATAACATACTCGAATTTCCTATAACATACTAAAGTTTACTATAACATACTAAAATAAAATTAGCTCTAAACCCGGGCCTGCGAGGAGGGGCAACTGGTGCCCGCCCCGGCGTCCGTCGCTGCACCTAGTTCATGGTTGGGATAGGATTAAACATGTACATTTTATTCCTTCTTAGAGGGTTTTTATAAAAACCCTCTCTTAAAAATGTACATGTTTATTCCTTATTGGGTTCAAGTACCCATAAAAAATTTAAAATGCTACCCGACTATGACAAAGGCACCGGTTGTAGCCGACTTTGGGCCTCGGCGTGGCTTCACCAGGGCGGAGCCCCACGGCCTTTGGCATTTTAGGGTTTTGTAGGGTTTAGAGCTTACCTTAACCTACAAAACCCTACTGTTTTGTAGGGTCCCTATAAACTCCATATTAGGTTTTATAATAAGAACCTACAAAAAGTTAGGGTTTGGTAGGTTAAGGTAAGGTTTAGGGATTCGGGTTTAGAATTTACATAGAATTTAGGGCCTAGGGTTCAGAGTTTAGGGTTTAGGGTTCAGGGTTTAGGGTTTAGGGCCAGCTTAAGGTTTTGGGTTTAGGGTGTGGGTTTAAAGTTTAGGGCGTGGGTTTAGGGCTTTCAAGCTTTCGATGTAGGTAGTTGGGTTTAGTGGACAGAGATTGCACAAGGTCTGGATCTCTCGCCGCATCCAGGAGGCTAAAAACAGCAAAACCGGTTGAGGTTCGTTCTTGTGCTTCGGTTCATTCAGCGGCTTTGACCCAAGTTTAAGAATCCTAGCTCTCGGTGTCGTCCTCGTCACTTCGGCCGTCGTCCTCCTCAGCATCGTGGTCATTGACGTATGGAGGGTCACGATCCTACCATGGCCATCTTCGTAAGCAAGTCAAACCAGGGCCCGAGTCCTTGCCAGCATCACCGCCAGAATTATCAGCATCTGCAGCAACATTGTCATCGGCAGCAAAAGGAACCGGCAAAGCGAAAAACAAAATCGACCACAGAGAGTCACACGATTCAGCCCATGCAGCGGATGATATTCCGATCGCGGTGATGGTGACGACCGCGATGACGATCAACATCAGCTACAATAGCACCAACAAGAAGAAGCACAGGCGAAGATAAGCCGATGACAACCAAGTTTCAAAAAAAAATATATACAGCCTAGACCCTCAACCCTGGACCACCAAAGCCCTAACCCTGCCTCCGTGGCACCCTGCGTATCGCAGGGCTCTTGGGTCCATCAGCGCTGGCAGCACGCGTCCTGTCAATTGAATTCTTCATGAGGGGGAACGGGCAGGGAGCATAGTATATTACGTGACAGCTTGTTATAGTATGCTACAAAATCTAATGCAGCATAAATTCTGCGGAGAGTGTCGCAACCTCGAAGCGGCGAGGGTCATAGACAATTTTCTACGATGCACTAAGCGTCGGGAAACATTGGAAAGAGGCTCCGAGGACCCAGCTCATCTCCGAAACAGAACCCGATAGATCCTTGATCAAGCATAAACCCTAACGCCCCTAAACTCTAAATGAATGCGGCCGGTGTCCGCAAACCTCAACCGCTTGCACAGGATCTGAAGACACCGGTGCGAAAGCTAAAACCCGACAACCAAAAAGAAAGACCAGATGAGGAAAAGAGGGTTTAGGGTTTAGGCGCATTGCCGAGCTTAACACACACTCTATCACCAGTGTTGTCACTCATATCAATATTATCAGTCTTTTTCATTCTTATTATCCTTATGATTTTCAATACTGATATAGCCCTTAATATCTACATTAATATGTCTACTACGATTACTAGGATTATTGTTGCTATTACTGTTGTTATTGTTAGTGTTGCTGCTCTTGTTTTCACTCTTTGTGATGATGACGGGTGTTGTTATTTCAGCGGAAGTTCAAGCGGAGCCCCGAAACCCTCTGCAAATGCCCTGGGCTGCTATCATTGCTATAAACAGCACCATTATCATGAAGATGAGTATTGCTATTGCTAGAAAACTCAAGGAGACTTCCGATACCCTCGGCAGATGCCTTGGGTTACCATGGGCCGTTATCATTGCTATAAACAGCACCATTACCATGAAGATGAGTATTGCTATTAGGAGACTTCCGGTACCCTCGGCCGATGCCTTGGGTTACTATAGATACGCTATTTATTCTTGTTCTCGTTCTTATTCTTATTATTGTTACGATTTATTACATTTATTACTGATATTACAATTAATACTATTATTACTAATACTACTATTACTACTGTTGCTACTATTAGTACTATTATTGCCATTCTTACGAGTGCCTCGGGTTGGGCTTGCCATCTTCCAGCTGCCCCTTGAGGCGCCCTCGGTCCTGGCGAGTTGGACTGCACGGGGTCGGGCTTAGGGTTTTTTTGGGCTTCGGGGTTGAAGGCTTGCTGCTTGGGATCTTGGGGGGAAGGGGTTTAGGGGTTTGGGGGTTTAGGGTTTAGGGTTTAGGGGTTTAGGGGTATCGGGTTTAGGGGTTTAGGGATTTAGGGTTTAGGGTTTAGGGATCTAGGGTTTAGGGTTTAGGGGTGTTGGGTTTAGGACTTTGGGGTTTAGGGTTTTGGTGCTTAGGGATCTGGCGTCTGCGTCTCGGTCTTGGTGCTCAACAAAGGAGGAATAACACGTACCCCTAAAATGTAGAGCATTAAGGCCTAATGTTTGGTATTATGCTTGCCTTGTGGGACTTGAGAGAAACAGGCCCGAAGGGTAGGAAGTCGAGGGTTTGGATGCCTGGTTCATGGGTCTAAGGGCTTGGGTGCTTAGCGTTTTGGGATTGAGGGCTTAGGTTCGGTTTCATGTAAGTATGAGAACCTCATGCCTCAAACTTAAGGACTTCGGATCTGGGGTTAGCCAGCTTTAAGGAATGAGATCAGGTTGTGGAGGGGTCAAAGTAGTATGGTGGCGGTCGGGTTTAGGTTTCAGGGTTGGGGGTTTAGGGTTTGGGGTTGGGGGTTTAGGGTTTAGGGTCTGGGGTTCATAGGGTTTAGGGTTTCTTGCTAAAGCAAGATGATGGGGAATTTGTCCTTGGCGCAGCAAGCATATTGATCTTTAAACTTCCCCGCCACAACAACCCGGGTCCATTGGTTCTCTTTCTGCGACCGGATCACCAACGGAACACCAAGTTTCTCACTCATGCTCTGTATCCAAGTTCCACACGCCCAAGTCAAAAAAAAACTTCTCGAAGTCTTCCCAGCTAGGCCATAACTCAGAGAAACGGACCTCGCGATTTGTCATGTGTTTGACCTCCCAAGTTCGCAAAAAAGCCCCTCTCAATTCGGCGTCCCTGCTTGTCACTGTTTCATTCTCGTAAGCCGCTTGAGCGCCGGCAACTGCTCGAAAGAAACAGTCTCCACAGCCTTGGTAATCCTTATTGGTCCATCCCGCCTGCTGTATGGCGCTGTCAGGATCACAAGGGGGGCGACTGAAAGAAAATTTAGGGGCCAGGGCTGCAGGAGTTTGGGGTTCAGGCTGCTTAAGGCTACATCAAACCCTCTGCATCCTAAACCCTCAATCAACTCTAAGCTTTATACCGATGAAACCCCACATTTGCCCGAAGCCTTAAACGCCAAGCCCCTCCCCCCTCCTGATTTATGCTTCTTCTACGAATCCGGGCATAGGTTGCAGTGTTCGTGGCAGGTGTGCTAAAAGCATCAAGAAAGGATACACGAAACACATCAGTAAATGTTGGGCTTCAATACTGGACTGTCTTCAACTTTGAGGCTTAAGTTTAGCCCAAGCCTCAAGACCACACATTGCCCTGAATTATAAACCCTCAAACAGTTTAGGGTTCAGGGATTGAACCTAGTCTACGGTATTTGGAATAGGGGTTAGGTGGAGTACATAAATCTGTTGCACTAACCTCAATTTCCTATAAGCCCCTTTGAAGAAACCCGGTTCTTAAACTGCGGACCCTGAAAAGTACCCAAAATCAGGTGCCCAAATACTCAAACCCCAAACCCGAAGCCCTAAGCCGTAAACCGAAAGCCCTACCCCCCCTCAGCCCAAAACCCCCTAAACCCAAAGCCCTAGACACTAAAATCCCGAAAACTAAGCCCCAAACCCAAAGCCCCTGAGGATTTTGGAGCCTCAGGGGCTGGGAGGAAGGTAGGTATAGGACTAACGATCCCTTATATAAGGGACCCTTATTTGGGATTACCCCACCTAGCTTCATCCTACCTCTTGAGGCCCCTGATTTTGGAACCCTAAGAGCCGTCAAGCCTAATTCTAAGTCCTAAACCCTAAGCCCTATGCCCCGAAGCCCCCCTAAGCCTTACTCCCTAAAACCCCCCTAAGCCCTAAGCCTTACTCCCTAAAACCCCCTAAGCTCTAAGCCTTGCACCCTAAAAACTCCCCTGAGCCCAAAGCCACTTGGGCGGTTGTCAAAATAATGGGTTTAGGGTTTAGGGTTTAGGGTTTAGGGTTTAGGGTTTAGGGTTTAGGGTTTAGGGTTTAGGGTTTAGGGTCCCTTTTTCTGTCCCCTAAATATTGGGTGCCGTACTATATAAAGACTCCAAAAAGTACCCTGATTTTGACAACTACCCCTAAACCCTACACTACCCCTATAAACCCTACACTACCCCTATAAACCCTACACTACCCCTATAAACCCTACACTACCCCTATAAACCCTACACTACCCCTATAACCCTACACTACCCCTATAAACCCTAAACTACCCCTATAAACCCTCAACTACCCCTATAAACCCTAAACCCTAAGCACTGAACCCCTAAACCCTACACCCACGTCGGACTTGGGAGCCTCGTGGGGCTGGTCGAGCACCCGCTTGTAGCGTGAAGACTTGAGGTCCTCGCGGGTTGGGTTCGCTTCGGGTTTGGGGTTCAGGGTTTAGGGTTTGGGGTTTACGGTTTAGGGTTTAGGGTTTGGGGTTGAGGGTTTAAGGTTTAGGGTTTAGGGTAAGGTTTAGGGTTTGGGGTTTAGGGTTTAGGGTCTGGGGTTTAGGGTTTAGGGTTTAGGGTTTTGGGTTTGGGGCATAGGGTTTCGGGTAGTTTAGGGTAGGCTAGGGTAGCTTCGGATCTGGGGTTTCGGGTTTCGGGTGTAGGGTTAGCTTGGGGTAGTTTAGGGTAGTTAGGTAGTTTAGTGTAGTTAAGGGTTTAGGGTTTAGGGTTTAGGGTTTAGGGTTTAGGGTTTAGGGTTTAGGGTAGTTAGGTAGTTTAGTGTAGTTAAGGGTTTAGGGCTCAGGGCTTGGGATGACCTCTAGCACTTCATCCGAATCGTGCTGGATTGGGGGCTTTGTGGGAGTTTATCAGAATCTCTGCATCGTTTCATTTATAAGACTTCAAGGTATATACTGTTCAGGACTTCGTGCTCGTGCTGTGAGTCCCAGGAGATTTATGTAAGGCTAACTAGCAGACACGGATATAGATAGATTAGAGAGGTACGTGCTGCTTATCACTTCAAAGAGCACTAAAACCCACAAGTTGGTGCTGGGTTCGGGATGCCATCAGCAAGCCGCTAATGCCGAAGCCTTCAGGATTTCGATGTGGGTGGTTGTCAAAATTATGGTCCCTTTTTGGGTCCCTAATATAATACGGCACCTAATATTTAGGGTGCCCAAAAAAAGGCCCTAATTTTGACCACCACCCATGTCTTTTTAGAGTTTAAGGTGAAGAGTTGAGGCTTTAGGGCTGCCCCGAACCCTGATGAGCCCAAACCCATCCAGAAATCCCCACGCCTCCCCACCTTTAACAGCGCATCCAAAGGTGATATGAGCTACTGCCGACTTGCAATCCCATGAACAACGTAGAAATTGCTATACTGAGACTACTTGAAATCCAATGTCCGCCGTTCATCAGGCTATATTACCCCCAACACTGACTCGACTACACCCCATACAAAACATGATACAAATCCTTGTAGGACACCATTAATATCCTGCAGGACCCTTTAAGACCTGTAGGGAACCTTGTTGATGTTGCCTGTCTCTCATGTGATCGAGGTCCTCTTCCGCTACCACAGGCTCCGGCAGCAGCGTCAACGCGGCAATTTTGGCCGTCTGGGGCATGCCCTTCATGCAGCCGGTGTCCGCCTCACAAAGCAGCTCGGGGTTCAGGGCTACTTATTTGCTTTTCGGCTTCAAGGTTTAGGCTTGTGTGTGTTTGGGTTTAGGCTTTAGGGCCTGGGTGAAGGTCACGGCGGAAGTTCAAGGTTTATGAGTTGGGGCTTCAGGGGTAGTGCGACGAGCTATAGCGCGTTGATGCATGGTTTAGGTCAGGGGCCGATACGGTTTCAGATCCTGCAATGCTGGCTCATCGTACAATCTCTTGGCGATTTCTGAATGGTTTGTGGCTTGTTAGAAAAAGGGGCACTTTTCTGATGGTTCTCGTAAGAAGGATCCGACTATTGAGGGTCTGTGCTACGGTCCTTTACTTCTTGAAACTCTCATGTCAAACTAAGCCCGGCTAAACCCTGCAACTCCCTAAAACCCAAGAGCCCTGAAACTAGTTCATGCTTGAGATAGGATTAAACATGTACATGCTTATTCCTTGTTGAGTTTAAGTACCCATAAAAATGGGTGGTTGTCAAAATAATGGTCCGCTTTGGGGTCCTTTTTATAATACGGCAGCAAATCTTTAGGGTACCCAACAAGGGACCATAATTTTGACAACTACCCAAATGTATAATGTTGCCCAACTATGGCAAAGGAACCCAGACCCACACACCTTAAAGGTGCTCTGAACCCTGCGGCCCGAAGGCCCCATTTTTCTGTTTGGCTCACAACGGTTTGGGTTTAGGGGTTTGGGGTTTCGAGTTTAGGTTTTAGGATTTAAGGCCTCACGGTTTAGAGTTTGCTGTTTGGCTCACAACGATAAGCGCCCTACGGCCAAGCAGAATAGAGCTTGGGAGGAATCCCACAGCCCGGATGCCGCCGAGGGCTACACTAAGGGTTCAGCTGGGTCTTACAGGGATACGGCTTGAAAAGGTTTTAGGGTTTGGAGCTTAGGGGCTAGGAGCGTTTTAAGGTCCGTGTCGTGAAACTGAATTTAAGTTGATATGCGAAGCCCGGCAGGGTATAGACTCTGCGTCCCCGTTACGAAAACGTAAATGAAGCTCGTTCAAAGGCTAGGTTGCTTAGGCATCCAGTATCCCACTTGCAGGGTTGGGGGTTTAGGGTACCCTTTCTGATTGAAAAGGAAGCCCTAAACTACAATGAGACAAAGTGCAACCAGGTATTGCTGCGGGACCTGGTTAGGAGAGTCAAAAGGTACTTCTGCGGCACCTAAAAACCTCCCAACCCCTCGGAAACCTGAACCCTCAAGCCTAAACCCTGAACCCCTCTGAAACCCCTACATCCTAAAGCGGCAAAGCCAAGTCGGGCACATGTTCTCGAGTTGAAGTCAAATCTATGGGATAATTCTGTCGGAGCCTAGCGACTAGGGCTCTAGGGGCAAAACACTGGTAATTCAGGCCTGTAAAGGCCTCTACCCAGAGACTCCAACATCCCTTAATGAAGGAACATACCTTAAATCATATTAAGGATCCTACTATAACTTAAGGTATATTCCTTAATTAAGGGATATTGGAGTCTCTGGGTATGTTACACTGGTTCACCCCCCTGATGGGCTTTCAGGAGGTGGTCCACAGTATCTCAAACCCACAAAGCCCGAAACTCCGAACCTCAAAACCACAGGGTGGTTGTCAAAATTAGGGTCCCTTTTTGGTTACCATAAATATTAGGTGCCGTATTATTATAGGTACCCAAAAAGGGACCATAATTTTGACAACCACCCCACAAGAGAATGCTGAGGTAACAGCAAACCGACAGGGCCCCAAGTACCCAATAATCAGAGACGTGTATTCTACGCCTCATCTTAAGCGATGAGCACCCCAAACCAACAAAATTAATTAAGCCTTCAGTTGTGGTAAGAACAGAAAATACCCAAACCCTAAAGGGGAAGCCCCTAAACCCCTAAACCCAATGCCCTAAACCCAAAAACCTTCAACCCGGGGACCCTAAACCCAGAAATCCAGGTACCCAGCCCCTGAATCGTACCGACCTCGCCTCCTGGGTGTTGAAGAGGAGGTCGCGATGCTGAATGCAGAGGGCCGTCAAACCAGGATGGCTTACCTCTGTTTAGGCTTTAGGCTTCAGGCCTTCAGGTTTGGGGTTTAGGGCTCAAAGTGTAAGGTTTAGGGTTCAGGGTTTGGGGTACAGGGTTTAGAGCTCAGGGTTCAGACGTTTCTTTTAATGCAATGCCCTTTTCCTTGCGTCCAAGGGTCCGCCCCGGTACAAGGCTTGCACAAAGTGGAGTGTTTAGTTCAGACGTTTAGAGTTTAAGGCTTGGGGTTTAAGATGTTGAGGAGGTCTAGTCGTTAAGGGCCTTCTGTAGGCGGTTCAGGGTTTAGCAGCGAAGAGAGGAATCTCGCGTCCGGCTTGTGAGTTGCCCGAAATCAGTCTTTGATGCTGCCGTGACCTTGCAAGCCGTCAGACTGTCTAACCCTAAAGCCTACTTGGAGGCCCTTTTGACTTAGTAAGTCTACTTAGTATCCCCTAGAAACCCTATTATAATCCCCATAACTTACCTTACTAACCCTACTTACTAAGTCAAAAGGGCCTCCAAGTAACCCCCACCCCGTAGCTCTTCTCACAATCCATCCACCCAACATGGGAAGCCTCTAGTTGACAGGTCTACTTGTCGGTTCCCTGGTACCTGAACCACGTCCAACTGGGTTGCCCAACTAGGACTTCTTCTCCTTCTTTGATACGAATGATCTCTTCACACGTCCGAAGGACTTCGACTTGTGTGTAGATATTGGATTCACCTTTGGAGTGGCGCCAATGGGTTCAATAAGATGCGGCTTGGGCATAGGAGCAGGAGCAGGCGTCTAGAAGCATCCGGACTAAATTTTCTAAATTGTTCTGAAACGCTAGATTCCAAAACCTTGAGCGGCATGCGCCGAAACCCCACACCCTGCAGCCTGGGCTTGTTGTTGTTCTGATCACCTGGACCTGAACCTTTTAGAACTCTTATAACACCTTTGCAAAAACCCTTGCAGAACCCTGACCCCCCAAACCTAATCCCTGAACCTTTGTCTTTACGTGTCATGTTGACAGCCTGGGACCATCATAACCCTAACCCTATCCTGCAGAACCCTCATGTCATACAACCTTTATAAGACCTTGATGAACCTCTTTGAAACACTCACAAAACCCAATACAACTTCGGCTTCAGAACCCTAAACCCTAAACCCTAACCCAATACAATAGAACCATCTCTCGAGCCTTGTCCCCTGCGTCCCCGAGCTTGCCAGCGAGGTATCTTTCTCGAAGGTGCCTCGCGGTAGCTTCGGGGAGTTTCCGAAAATCAGGGGTACCCTTAAATTTCGGGTCCTTATAACAAGGATCCTACTATTTGGGGCACTAGAAACTCCAATCTGGGTTTGGAGTTTAGGGAATTCTAAAAGGGATCCTACTACTTAGGGTACTAGATTAGGGTCCCCTATTTTCGGAAACTCCCTTCTGGCTTTGGAGTTTAGGGTCTAGGATAGCTGCTCGGATTTACTGTTCAGGGTAGCCGGACCCCTAAAACCTTAGAGATGAGGCATGGGGTTTGAGTTTTGGAGTTTAGGGGAGCCTTTTAGGGGAGCCGCTCGTATACCAAGGACCTGAAATCACGATAGCCGTCCTAATCATGGGGTTTAGGGTCTAGTATATTCCTATACCAAGGACCGAAAATCACGACAAGCGTCATAATCATAGGGTTTAGGGTTTAGGCTTAGGGCGTTTAGAATAACAGAGACCATGCTACCGATCATACTGGTCGTAATTAACCATAACGCCGTCGACACGGCCACACAGTAGACATAGTAATAGTAGTAGCAGTAGTCGTCGTCGGCGTAGTACTAGTGACAGTTACAGGCGTAGTCGCCGCCACAGCACGTATCTCAACTGCGCAGCTGGTGCAGCCCAAAGGGATAAGCCCCCCAAGACCCACAATGAAACTGTGGAAACGAAAACCATTCCTAAACCCTAAACCCTAAACCATTCCTAAACCCTGAACCCTAAACCGTAAACCCTAAACCTTAAACCTTAACTGAACATACTTTGCCCGACAATGAGCCTTTAAACAAACTACAAGCCCCTTTGTCCGAAAAAAGACAAATTCCCCCGGTAGGCTTGTTTCAGAATCGATGTACCCTAAACCCTAAACTCCTAAAATTGAAAACCTAAACCCCATGGCTCCTCCAAGAGACACCCAACAAAACACTTCCTAAACTCCCCGGCCCGTGCACCTGTGGTAGCACCGCAGCATGGGCAGGATTAGAGACGGTTTCCCCCTTCGCTCTGCCAGACAGACCTTTGAAGGTCTGAGGGTTTTTTGGTTGAGGGTTTAGGGGTTTAGTTGGGGTGTAGGGTCTCGGGGTTTGGTTAGGGCTAAGGGTTACAGACCTTTGAGGGTCTGCAGGTTTAGGGCTTTATGTACAGGCCTTCATGATTCGAACAAGGTTTGGGCTATCTTATACAACCGAAACCCTAAATCGTATAGTTGTAATAAGGGACCTAAAGTTACAGCATTGCCAAGTACTCTGGATTAGCAAGTACTCTGGATTCTAGACTACGCCAGGCGGTTTCCGGGAATTGATAAGCTGCGGCTCCAGCAAAGGGCTTAGTGTGGGGTTTCAGTGGCTCAGAGTTTAGTGTTTTGGGCTTAGAGGATAGAAATATTTAGGGCTGGGGGTATAGAGGTAAGGATTTGGAGTTCAGGGTTTAGGGTGTAGGATTTAGGGCGTAGGGCAGGGTATAGATAGAAGATGCCGGCGTAATCTACATCCATTTGCCCTGGTTGGCCTGCAACATACACGCGCTGGGTTTACATCTGAGTTCGCGACTGGCCGGTGCAAAACAAAGCCCAAACCCGAAACCTCCTTCCCTTCACTGTGCGAAAACACCTTGCAAGAAAAGCAGTCTCACGCAGGGACCCTGGTGCATCTAATCGTTACAGAAAAGAAACCACAACACCCGAAACCTTGTAGCTCACAGACATTTTTATCCTTGCTGAAAACCCTCTCTGACGGAGGAGGGCTTTGATCGACGAGGGGTCTACACCAGCCCAAAACCTATGCGGGCGTTGGAAATTTCAAGCGAAGATACGCTGCCGGCGAGTGTCTGAAACCCCCCATTGTGACTCTCAAACCAACTGCCCCGGCTATGCCATGTGATACCGGTGCGTCCCCCTCCTACTCAACCGCCCTCGCAAGCCACTCAAACCTAAACTCGAAACCCTAAACCCAAACCCTGAACCCTAAACCCTAAACTCCTATACCCTAAACCCCGAAACTCCAACCCTAAACCCCCAACCCCCCAAAACCCGAAACCCTAAAGCTCTCGATCCGAAACTTGATGCCGAAGCCCAAAACCACAAGCCCTACTTGGAGGGTCGGGGGACTTAGCAACTGGTTATTTTAGGGACTTATAACTACCATACTTTTAGGGTACTTATAAGTCTACTTACTACATACTTACTAAGTCCCCTAAAGACCCTCCAAGTACAGCCGCAGCACTGGGGAGGCTCCGTTGGGCGTCGGCTGAAGAAGGTGATGTAGCCTGCTCGGCCGGTCCAAAAAAGGGGTCCGGAGGGTTTCAGGCCGGTAGGGATTTTAAGCTTCAGGACTTGTAGGGCTTAGGGTGCCAGAGGTTGGTATTTTGGAGTTTCCGAAAATAGGGGACCCTAATGTAGTACCCCACATAGTAGGCTCCTTATTGTCAGGACCCAAAATATGGTACCCCTAACTTTCGGAAACTCCCACTTCAAGGCCAAATGGCCTTTAGGGGACTTAAGGAGCCTTGGTGTTCGGGATCGTGCATTCCTGAGATGATGAGATTCCACTTCCATCCCAAGGCCTGACTCTTGGGTATGCTTTACTAGGATACCCAGGCCCTTTACTAGGGTTCCTTTAAAGGGATCTATATGGGGTTAGTATAAGGGGGTCTATAAGGGTATATACTATAATACTGTACTAGGATACCCAGTAACCTAAGAATAAAAAAGGCCTCTCTTTTTGGTATTGGGTAACTTTATAAGGAACCTAGGACTACAAAAAGGGAATAAGGGTACTACTGGACATCCTAGGCTCTGATCCACTGCTCAAGCCCATCAACCTAAACCCTACACCCTAGACCCTAGATCATCAATCCTAAACTCCAAACTCTAAACCCTGAACCCTACACCGTGACTCTGTGGATCCCTGCACCCAAATCCCAGCCTCGTGTCGTCGTGCTGGCCTCGTCTTGCTTTTAAAGGGACTTGCCCTAGGATAAGGGCTTAGGGCTTAGGCTTTGTAGGCGTTTAGGGGTTGAGGGTTTAATGCATAGGGTAGCTCATGGCCTTATTCTAGCAGGCTGTAGGGTCTAGGGAACACCTCGTGATGCGATGGGGTGAGACCCTCACAAAAATGGGTCAAATTCCTTAAGTCCTGAAACCCGCAACCCAAAGTCAAAACGCTGGACCCTGGAATTTAGAGTTTAGGGTTTTGGGTGTGATGCGCTACCCCCGAGTCCTTAACACCCCGCCCTCCGAGAGTCTGAAGGAGCCTAAAATGTACTCACCGAGACCCGAACACACACCACCACACCACCTGGTGTAACGTCTATACAACCCCATACAAACGTTACACAGACCCTATTAAACCCGACCCAGTGCTGGCCAGGATTCAGAGCACCTGCACCGCTTGCCTCGCGCAGCACGCAATAGATACAGTACAATACTTTTATGTAGGTGCTGTCGGAGAAACTACGCTGAAGTCTTCAAACTCCCATAGTCAATCGGGCTCGGGAAGGAGTTAAGGGAGTCACAAGGATTGCGGGGCCTGTGGCTTAGGAGTGTGGGGTTTAGGGTTTGAGGTTGAGTTCAGGGCTCAAGGTTTAGGAGTGTGGAGTTTTAGGGCTTAAGGCTGGGGGTTACGAGTGAAGCATTTAGGCCATTGAGGGTGTTAGGGCTTAGGAATCTGCAGTTGGGGTTTAGGGTTTGTGCTTGGCCTTTAGGATTGAGGGTGGTTGTCAAAATCATGGTCCCTTTCTGGGTTACCCCAGATAGTAGGTGCCGTATTACATTAAGGACCCGAAAAGGCACCCTAATTTTGACAACCACCCACTGAGGGTGAAGGAGTCTGGGGTCCAAAGTCGTGGGTTTGGGGCTTTGTCTCTCGAACTGAGGGTCTAGGTCTTCGAGACTCTGCTGTGGTGGCTGGGGTTGTGGGGCCTCAGGACACCCTATGATTTACTATAGATCCCGATTATGGTATCTTACAGTAAACTCCTTAACCCCTAAACCCTTATTGATCCCTTAAGGGAACCCTTATAGATCCCCATTATGATATCTTACATTCAGTTCCTTTAACAAGAACCCAGACTTTAGAGCTTCTTGGGCTTTTGTCACCTATCTTTGGAGTCTCTAGGGTTCTCCTGAGCCCCAAGTCGACTCAAGTTCCGGAAAAATGGGCCCTATACCCAAACCCTAAACCCTGATCCAGAATCCCCCAGACCCTAAACCCGAATCCCTCTAAACCCGAACCACCTTAAATTCGTGAAAAGTGGCACGTGGCCATGCTCCACGGCGAGGTGAAGAGCCGCACCTGAGCTCTGCGGCTTTTCAAGTCTTAGAAGCTCCATTGTCTGGGTTCTTGTCAAAAGAAATAAATGTAAGATGTCAAAAAGGCACTACTATGAAGCCTATGGGTAGGCTTCACAAGCTGAAGTAAGCCTGAAACCTTGAACCCTAGACTCTTAACCTAAGAACCTAAGTTTTACACCACAAAAACAAAATAAAGTCGGTAGTCGTGGTTGTCGCCGTGGTACTGTTGATGATATAAATCCTGCATTACCTATAATAAGGAATATACCATAATTCCCATAGTTTAGGGTCCTTAAGGTAATGAAGGATTTATACCATCAACCGTAGAAGCCGCAGGCGGTCGTCCTTGTACTTGCGGTAGGCGTAGTAGTAAAGCTTCACGTACGGCTCAAAACCCCCATTTTCGCCATAAACCTTAGACCTCAATCCCAAGAACAAACCTAAACCCCCAGCCCCGAAAACTGCATATAAAACCTTCAAGGAATCCTGATGGAGCCCAAAGAAACCCTAACCCCTAAACCCTCCTAAACTCTCACCCCTCAACCCTAAACCCTAAAGCCTAACCCCTAATTAGCCCCTGATAAACCCCTAAACCCTAAACCCTAAACCCCTAAACCCCTAAACCCTGACCCTAAACCCGTGAACCCTAAACCAAACCGAAGCCAGGCGACGGCCCGAGGAGGTCACCGCGTCGAGCTGCGCCCGGGCACTTAAAAGCGAGGCCACCAGCCTTGCGTCGCCTGGATTTGGGTAGCTTTTGGGTTTAGGGTTTAGGGTTTGGGGGTTTCAGGTTTGGGTTTAGGGTTTAAGGTTACCTACTTGCTACGGTTTAGCTCTTTTGGGCTGTTGGCTTCTCTTGGGGTTTGGATTCAGCATCGCCTGGATTTGGGTGGCTACGGTTTGCGGTTTAGGGTTCTGCGTTCAGGGTTCCGGGTTTGGTTTTTTTTGGTATTTAGTTTTTGGGGTCTGGGGCTTTCGGATTTAGGATTCAGGGCTTTTGGATTTCGGGTTACTGCTAAGTTACTACGGTTTAGTGCTTTTGGGCAGCTACCGTTTTGGGTTTTGTGTTCAGGTTTAGGGTTTGGCGCTTTGCGCTTAGGGCTTAGGGTTTGGGGATTTGGATGTCGGGTTTTTGCTTTGGGGTTTAGGCATCCCCTTGGGTTAGAAAGGAGCCTTACTTATATTGCGGGCTGTATGGACGCCTCTGTACTAGCTCTCCAATGGCTTGCGACACCTTGGATCTCAAGAATTACAAGTCACTCTTTACACTACGGAGAACCCGCGTTGTGGATTGGGGTTTCGGGCTTTAGAGGCTTTGAGTTCAGGGTTGAGGTGTTTAAACCCTAAACCCTATTAAGGCTCGCGTTCAGAGGTTTGGGGACTTCGTGTCTGACATGACAAGGGCTGGGCAACGTGGGCCTTGGAGTCGTTGGGTTTCATGATGAAGCCCAAAGACGCTTAGAAAACTCGCACTCAACCCAAAACCCAAAAACCCTAAAGGCCTTAAAGGCATGAACTCTAAACCCAAACAAAAACTAAATCCAAAAGCCCTAAGCCAAAAAACAACCTAAAACCCACAAAAAGAAGACCCCTAAGCCAAAAAACAGCCAAACTCCAAAAAAAGAAGACCCGCAAGCCAAAAAACAACCTAAACTAAAAAAAGAAGGCTAGAACCTTAAACCCAAAGACCCTAAGCCAACAAACAACCTAAAACCCAAAAAAGAAGACTAGAACCTTAAACCCACAAACCCTCAACCCTGAAACCCAAAAAAATAAGACTAGAACCTTACACCCAAAAACCCAAAAGCCCCAAGCCAAAAAACAACCTAAAACCCAAAAAAAGGAAGACTAGAACCTTAAACCCAAGAAAACTCAACCCTGAACCCTAAACCCTAAGACCCAAAACCCTGAACCCTAAACCCTGAACCTTAAACCCTCAAAAAAAAAAAACATCAACCCTGGCCTCGTTCCGCTGCCAGGTGCAGAGCAGCCTTGCCCGAGGGCAACGTGGCGTTGATGGAGGCCGTCTTGTCCTTATCGGTTTAGGGTTTAGGGTTTAGGGATTAGGGATTAGGGGGGTTCAGGGTTTAGGGTTTAGGGTTTAGGGATTAGGGTTCAGGGTTTAGGGTTTAGGAGGGATTAGGGATGAGGGTTCAGGGATTAGGGAGACCGCTTGAAGGGGGACCCTTCTTAACCCTACTTCTGGCTCTCTTAAAAGGGGACCGTATTGAGAGGGTCTATATCCCCAAGGGTGCCCCTAATCCTAACCCCTACTTGCAGGGTCAGGGGACTTAGTAAGTAGGTAGCAAGCAGACATATAAGTACCCGAAAAGGGACCCTAATTGGGGTTCTGGTGCTTATAAGTCTTACTAAGTCCCCCGACCCTCCAAGTATCGGTTTAGGGTTTGGGGCTCGGTTTAGGGTTTCGGGTTTTGGGTTCACCTGTTGCCCAGAACCTACCACTTCAAGGATCTATGTTATTCTGTCCTTATCGGGGCTTTGGAACTTTAGGTAGGTCCTGGTTAATAAGCCCTGTGTTGGGAACTCCCTGCCGCCAGAATCCAAATGGCCTTTGCACCTTCTGTTGTGCAGCAACGCCCCAAACCCTAAACACCCTGGTCGCGGGCTCAGAATTTCTCGGCTTGGAGATGGCTTGGAAAAGCAGCAGTACACCCTTAGACCCTATCATACAAAAACATGAAAAATTGAGGAATACCATTCCATATTCCAACTATATACTAGGCCCCTACACAATCGGATCTTTGAGTTTTGGGGGAGGTGGCATCTCGATCATAGGCATAGGTGCGCGACTCAGGAACTACCCTGAAAAAGTAGGGTCCTCCAAATAAGGAGCGCCCCAAAGCAGGGAGTCGTAATCTCAACAAGGCCCCGGGTGACCTCATCCTCTAAAACCGAACCAGCGACTTCACGAGTCCCGACACCAAACCCTAAACACAACACCCTGCGAAGCCTTGGGTTCAAACCCAACAGCGCCAAAACCGAAACCCTAAACCCTTCAGAACACCTGCAAAACCTTCGCAGATCCTTTTTCGGAATCCTTACCAAGAACCCGGAACTCCCCAGGAAAGCTCTGATTCCGCAAATGTGCCTTGGCAAAGAGCAGCTCCGCCACATCCAAGCACCCCCTATTCAGCCTTAGTGCTGTAATACACGGTTTAGGGCAGTGGTATTGTGCTTCTGGGCGCCTTTTGAAGCTCTCACCAAGGAAATCGATGGATTCGCTCAGAGTCTTTTCAGGTATAGGGTTAAGGGTCCTCTTCTTGAAGATGAGCCATAAGGCTGTCTGTAGTCTGTGAAACGCGTCCCAAACTGTACCAGACTGTAGCTCAATCAAGAAGAGTTCCATAAAGGCAGCAAGTAGGGCCAACCAGAAGATCTGAGCATGACCGTCTGACCGGTAATGACTCGAAGCCCTGGCCCCTCAACCTGAACCTCTAGACCTTTGCAACTTAAAGCATAAACCGCTAAAGGCTAAAGAGTATCTTAGACATTGGACCCTAAACCGTATCCCCGAAGGAGCACTGAGGACTCAACGCCGCGAGCAGTGGAGTCTCCATCTGAAGGGACGCAGGTACCTGCCATATCAGCGTAAGACTATATGGTTAGTTGTCAAAATTATGGTCCCTTTTGGGTACCCTAACACTAGGTGCCGCTTTATATTGAGGACCCAAAAAGGGACCATAATTTAAACAACCGCCCATATGGGTTTACTTTCGTTTAAAACATAAAAACAAAAAGCATTACAAAGCTTTTGGGGCGGCACAAGGCCTCATAAATTTTGACAGGGCTTTGCCTGAATAGCTAGGTTGTGGTGTTGAGGGTATGATATACTTTAGCGCTGCTATGGGTAGACAAGGACCATATGAGCATACTCTTTGTCTATCAGGGGCTAGGGCTCAGTGTTTAAAGTTGAGGGTTCGGGGTATGGCAAGTAACAACACCATCAACCTCAAACCTCCTGAAGTTCAATCGCAACAAGGGTTCCTTTAAGGGGTTCGATAAGGGAACAATAATAGGGTTCTATATATATATATATATATATATGGTAGGGGCCTTCATAATTAGAATAGGGTTTTGGGGCAGCCCGAAACTCCAAAAGGAACTCTGCAGAGTAGAGGGAAAGCCTACTTGGAGGGTCGGGGGACTTAGTAAGTAGGTAGTAAGTAGACTTATAAGTACCCTAAAAGGGACCCTAATTGGGGCTCTGGTACTTATAAGTCCCTAAAATAACCAGTTACCAAGTCCCCCGACCCTCCAAGTAATCTATAGTAGATATTATTGCAGCAATTCCCTAAGAAGAACCCCGAATACGGCCCAGTATTATCCACGAACTCCCGAGTTTCTACACATCTCCGGGAGCATGAACTCTCAGAACCCTGACATCAAAAAGAAAAGTGATATAGGGCCGCAACTATTAGGACATAGGGCCTGGAATGGGTATATTTATTACAATATGAATATATAAGGACTGCAAAGGGATATTACTACTGGCTGTTCAGACCTCTGTATTATGCAACTTTGATAGCAAAACGATCCTCCTCCCTGATGTCCTTATTTATATTATGTCTCAAGATGACAATAATAAGGACCTCAAGAAGCTAAGATTATAAGGTCGGCTAATGATTAATATCGTAGGTTACATAAGGCTCATCTCTTATATAAAAATTGATTCCCAGTCATTTCGTCTCCCCACCGGATCTTCCGGAACCGCGGTCCCACAGCCAGCATCCAGCAGCACCTTACGGTTAAGGGTCTGGGCTTGAGGGTCTAATGTTGAGGGTTTAGGGCGGTTTAGAGTTTCAGGGTTTAGGATTTCTGGCTGAAGGTTTGGGGTTTGCTTTTGGGGTTGAGTGCTTAGGGCTTAGGACTTCCCAACGGCCCCTCGAAAATGACAAAGTCGTGACAATGCAGACATGCAAAGGTTAGGTGTGTAGCAATATATATATATATAAACACCCCGACACACTGAAGGCTGAAATCCAAGAAGCCCTTACAAAACCCTCATAAAAGAAAACTCGAACTAACACTCCTGGAGAAGTAGCCACCCTAAACCTTAGACCCCCTAAACCCTGAACCTTAAACCCTGAACCCAAGCCCCTAGCTAAACCTTAAACCCCTAAACCCGTAATCTTAAACCGTGAACCCAAGCCCTTAGCTAAACCTTAAACCCCTGAACCAATAACCTTAAACCCTGAACCCAATCCCAACTACCCTCTATTATACCCTAAATACCCACTATGAAGGACCACACGGGCTCTATTAAAGGGTACTTGGGGGTGCTGGTGAACCCAAACCCCTTGCTTTTTTCAGAACTGAGCCACGGCCACGTAAGGCACGGCGTTCGCGGTGCCGCAGGCGGCCAGAAGCGCACGGCGCGCGGAGTCTCCCGACTTCTGCTGCGCAGTCAGTGCCTGTTTTAATGTAGGAACCCCTTTGGGTTTAGGGCTTGGAGTTTAGGGTTGAGGGTATTAGGTTATTAGGTCTAGGGTTTGGGGGGTTTCATGTCGGAACCTGATTAAGAAACCTGGGGCCTTTATTAGGGTTCCTTGAAAGGGGTCTATACGGGTTACTTTGAGGGATCTATAAGGGTACGATAATAATGCAGGAACCTGATCAAGAAAGCTGGGGCCTTTATTGGGGTTCCTTATATGAACCCTACTCTTTTGGGGATATAAGCCCAGGGTTTCTTAATCGGGTTCCTACATTAAGGCTTTCAGGGGTGTTCGGCTGCTTTTCAAGCTAGGCCCTGTAAGGGTGTTCGGGGATGTTTCGTGTTTAGGGCGTTTTAACGGGGCCTGGGCTTTAGGGCTTGAGCTTGGGTTAAGAGTTTAGGGTTTAGGCGGGTTTAGGGTTTTTCTGACCTTTTGGGGCTTAGCAGTGAAGGTTCGAGTTGTTGACTTCTTTCTGCCTTGCCCTCGAAGCCTATTTCTGGCGGTCCCTACACATTCTATACTGGTACTAGAGTGTATAATGCGAACCTACGAAAAAGTAGGCTATGGTAGTTTATGGTAGGGTGCTTTGAGGCCCTTTTGACTTAGTAAGTAGGGTTAGTAAGGTAAGTTATGGGGATTATAATAGGGTTTCTAGGGGATACTAAGTAGACTTACTATGTCAAAAGGGCCTCCAAGTGGTTTTACTCTGCTGCGTGCTCAAGGCTCGGGGGTCTCAGGCTTTGGAGATCGGGGTTGAGGGCTTAGGCTGGGTTCTTGTTAAGGGTTTAGGGTTTAGGGTTTAGGGTTTAAGTTACCATAATAAAGAACCATATTATTCACTGTAGATCCCTACTATGGCAAGGTATATTAAATTCCTTAACACTTAAACCCTTCTAGATTCCTTAAAGGAACCCTTATAGATCCCTACTGTGGTAACTTAAAATTAAATCAGAACCCAGTCGGGTCCGAGAGGAAGGGCGTTGGGTTTAGGGCCAGTTTCAGCTTTCGGAGCAGATCATGTCGATCAGGTTTGGGGGTCTGGGGTTCGGGACTTCTGCATTAGTCACTAGCGGGGGGGGGGGGGGGGGGGGGGGGGTTAGGTTCTTCTATACTGCTGCTACTGAACTTAGAACCCTAGCAAAATTATAATTTTAGCTGTTTCTTAGAGATTATTTTATCCAAAAATTAAACACTCTTTCTAAATACCCCTAAGCAAGTCTTAGTGTATTCTGCTACGTCCGTCGTCGTCATGACCATCATGATCATCATCAGCCCCGGAGTCTGCATGACCATAGCCATGACCAGACTTGATCCGCCACTGTGGGCAGCATCATCGCCATCAGTGTCCCAGCTATTTTGTTTAGATTTCGACCCTCCTCCATCGTCACCAAACCTGGCATCAGTGTCCCCACCACAAACCCCTGGTACTGTTCGCGCAAGCGCAGTGGTTGGAGCGAGGGCGGTTCTCACTACTGTGAGTATGGTTCGGACGTCGGACCCGTCTGTCGTGCGATTTAGCATCTGCTGAACAGTCTACGGTGTGGTGATTACCCTTTAAGCTGTGGTGTGCATTGTATCGTGCTACAGTTCCTGCAATCCTGCATGTTAGGCGTTGATAGGGCTTGTTTGCCAATGTTTTATGTAAGGCTATGATGCTGCAATCCGGGCTGTCTGTGTAAAGGATATGTTCCTGCATGTCACACGTTCACACCTGGCCCTGTCTCGTCTTTGTGCATTTATGCATTTCGAACGTGTGCTGCATGTTGTGTTATGTTGTGTTGCCATGCTGCCCGATACTGCTAGAGTCTGCAGCTTCTGTTCGCACGATTTCGTCCCTTGCTCTACATCATGCTACGGTGAGAAGCTCATTTTTTGGCTCTACTTCATCCTCTCTTGATCGTGTCAATAAACTGTTGATCTTCACGGCATGAAGCACCGGACTGTTCATATTTTCGACCCCCGAAATCCTGTAAACCCTAAACTCCTCAAACCCTAAACCCCCAAATCCCTAAACCCTAACCCCTAAACCAAACCCTAAATCCTGAACCCTAACCCCTAAACCCCTAAACCCCCAAATCCCTAAACCCCCAAAGCCCTAAGCCCTTCCAGAGCACCTCGGCCATGAGCTGAAGGGCCTCCAGACGGCCCCCCGACACCTGAAACGAGGAGTGAGAACCAGAACAGAAAGTGAATGGGAGCAAAAACCCTATCGAAGAGGCAGGAAACGAAGACACCCTAAACCCTAAATCGGGAACGGAAATATGCTTGGGTCACTGTTTCCGGAAGTGGATGTTACGAGAACATCCCCCTTGGCCGCCGGTAGGGTGGTTTGAACCTCTTCGAGCCAGAATCCAAGCATGCCAGAGACTTCAATATCCATCAATGAAGGTTTGGGGCTTAGGATCTAAGGAGTCTTGACGAATCTTGCATATTTCTGTGCTGGAATGAAGGAAACAACATGGGTAGACCCCCACTCAATGAGAGAATGCCTCTGAATGTCTCTTGGATCTCTTAAATGAGCCCTTAAGGAGGAACCCTTGCCGTACAGATGTCGGAGTCTAACTTAATTGAGGACCTTCATAGAATATGTAGAGCTTTGGGAGCAGCATGAATGAGTGGAATGTGAACCTAAAGAAATTCTGGCTGGCCCCTATACTAGGCAACTCCCCACCTCCGCCGCCGGCGCTTGCAGTACTGCGCTCAAGGGGCACTCGCCGCCGGGGGGACGCACGGCTGCGCCTGGCGCCTGGGCACTATGGGATCGAAACCCGCATGACGACTGCCGGGTTTAGGGTTTAGGGTCGGCAATGACTACAGATAGGAAAAACTCCATAGAACCCTATGTCCCTACAGGCCCGGCTGTGCCGAGAAATGACTGCAACTCACGTCAACACCGCTGTAGTTTCGCAGACAAATATATGCTTCTAAAGAACAGGCCCTTAGCAAATGAGTATAGTGCATCATCGTCAACTGTCGTATATGGCATCACAGTATTGTAGCACACCAGTGACTATCCTCGTAGTACAATACAGTATGGGACTTGTATTCTGTTCTATGATACCAACTCTGTTCTTCTTATAGTATCTCATAGTATACTATGGTATACTACATAACCATAGTATGTCATGGTACACTATAGTATACCACATTCTTTTATTGCTTGGGTTTGTTGTAGTATGTTGCCAACTTTGCGCCTGCTGCTGCGCCTCTGGCCTCATCGCCGCTAGCGGCGAGGCGCGCAGCTCCAGCAGACGCCTGACGGAGGCCACGTCGCCGTGCCGCGCTGCCCAAAAGAGCCTTCATGCTAAGAATAGGGTGTAGGGTTTGAGACCCCGAAGAGCCTTCAATGTTTGAATAGGGCTATCTGTGAAGGGTTCTGTATCAGGGTTGCTTTGCTTTAGTAGACACTAATGGCCTTCATAATTAGAATCGGGATTTGGGTATATGATAGCATACAGCTGTTATACAGAACCCGCTTGAATAGTATACTGAACCAGCTAGGGGCGGGGTGGTGCCGCGGCAGAAGATGCGGTCGGCTTCGGCACGCATCTCCAAGAGGAGTGCCACGGCGCCGGGCTGATGTCGCTTCGCCTGGGCTCTTCTACTCAAAGGGTCTAGGGTTTAGGGTTTAGGGTTTAGGGTTTAGGGTCATGGGACTTAGTAACTAGGGCTATAATCAGGTTAACTATACTTGTAATTACTTATAACCCCAATTAGGGTACTTATAAGCCTACTTACTAAGTCCCATGATCCTCCAAGTACTAAGAACTTGCTTTCAGCTGCTGGAGTAAGGGAGGCATCGTATTTTCTGCGCATACTGTACATATACACCTACAGAAGTATCCATACATTCTGCATACGTATACATGCCGATACACGTATGAAAACATGTACACATATGAATGTAACTACATGTACTGCACCCCATCACGGCAACTTAAACTCAGTTCCCTAAACCCTGAACCCTGAACCCTAAACCCGGAACCCTAAAGCCTGAACCCTGAACCCTAAACCCTAAGCCCAAACCCGAGCCAAGACAGCCCGGTCGCCGCACGCCACAGTGGAGGCTCCTTTCCCCCGTTGAGCAGCTTGACCAGCACTCTGGGCTCTGTCGTCCGCTCGATGCGAGCTGCGGTGCAGGCCAGAAAGCTGCAGTAGCCATGCCTGGGATTCTGCAGGGCCTTTGGAAAGCTTCGTGCTTAAGAAAGCACTACGCTATGATCCAGAGACTTGAGAATACACCGTGAACAAGATCAACAACTTGAGAACATACTACACTACGATCCAAAAACAGGACTTCAAACCATACTAAAGCCTCAATCCCCCCTTATTCCCCCAAAGCCTTAACACTAGAACTAGAAAATATGACTGTTAAGAGTCCTCAATCCCCCTTATTACCCCAAATCCTCAGCACGAAAACTAAAAAAACATGATCTTTCACACTGGAACTAGAAAATATGACTGTTAAGAGTGCCCAGATGCCCAGCAGCCCAACAGAAGGTCTCCTGTACCGACTTCGGCTCCCGCGAGCGTCCCTGGTCCAGGCGCAAGAAAAGCTTCCCGCCTTGGCGCTTAGAGAGCGTTTAGGGTTTTTTTTTTAGGGTTTAGGGTTTAGGGTTTAGGGCGCGCATGGGCTTGCTGTAGATTTAGGGCCTATAGTGTATGAGGGCTCCTTTAAGGGTTCTGTTAAGAGTTCCTTTAAAGGTTCCTTTGAGGGTTCGCGCTCTTTTGCGGTGCAAAGTTGAAGGGCTGCTACCCGGCTTCTGGCCTCTAAGGGGAGTGTTCTAGTGACTAATAAGGTAGAATATAAAGCTGAAAAGTGCTCCTAGAATCGAAGCTAACGTCTTCTGCGCGATCTTGTATTCCTGCTTGGTAACTCTTACACCAGAACGCCAGAGAAGCCTCCGCGAGCCCCTAAAGCAACTTAACTCTGATTCCTAAGGCCCCTGTCTTGTACCCTGAACCTCTTTAAAAGGAGCCCTTTAAAAGCGAGCCCTGGAAGGAGCCCTTGAAAAGGAGCCCCTTCGAAGGGAACCCTTTAAAAGGAACCCCTAACGCAGACCTTTAAAAGGAGCCCTTAAAGGACTCCTTTTGACCCTTGCGGGAGCCCTTAAGAGGGAACCCTGAAAAGGGAGCCCTTTGGAGGGAGCCCTTTAAAAGGAGCCCTCCCAAAGCGAGCTCTGAGCTTCCTGCGACAGCCGCTTCCCGCTTTTTGCAGGCTGCTGGGAATCTCGGGGGCGAACCTCGGGGTTGCTTTGGGTCCCTGTTGTGGGCTTAGGGTTTAAGGGGTTTAGGGATCAGGGGTCTAGGCCGGTAGGGTTCCTAGGGTTCCTTAAAGGGATCTATCGGGGTTCCTTTAAAGGGATCCATAAGGGATCTTTGGGGTTCAGGGTTTTGGGTGTTTTGGGGTTCAGGCTTCGGGTCTCTAGAGTTTAGGGTTTTGGGTTTAGGGTTTAGGGGTTTAGGGTTTAGGGTTTACGATTAGCTGGGCTAAGAAATCACTAGGCCAGCAGTGTAGTAGTAAAAAACCCACACGCCCAAAGAATCCCAAAACATTAGGAAAATATACACTTTCTTCCTAAACCCTAAAGGCCAACCAAACATGCCCTAAACCTTAGAAGCCACTACTGTACTCCAAAACTCGTTGCGCAAGCCACATCCCAACAAAAATCGTTAATTTTGCAGATCTCAGGTCGGAAAGGACTGCAAAATTAGCGATTTGTGTTGAGCATGGCGGTCGCGCAAGCCCCTCACAACAAAAATCGTTAATTTTGCAGACCTCTGGCCGGAAAGGTCTGCAAAATCAGTGATTTTTGTTGCGCAGGGCGGTCCTCGCAACAAAAATCGTTAATTTTGCAGACCTCAGGCCGGAAAGGTCTGCAAAATTAGCGATTTTTGTTGTGCAGGGCGGTCCTCGCAACAAAAATCGCTAATTTTGCAGACCTTAGGCCGGAAAGGTCTGCAAAATTAGCGATTTTTGTTGTGCAGGGCGGTCCTCGCAACAAAAATCGCTAATTTTGCAGACCTCAGGCCGGAAAGGTCTGCAAAATTAGCGATTTTTGTTGCGAAATTGGTTGCCCAGGGCCCTTCTCGCAACAAAAATTGCTAAGGCCATTTAAATATACATTTGAAAGAGAAGTTTAGGGTTTAGGGGTTTAGGGGTTTAGGGTTTAGGGTTTAGGGGTTTAGGGTTTAGGGTTTAGGGTTTAGGGTTCAGGGGTTTAGGGTTTAGGGTTTAGGGTTTAGGGTTTAGGGTTTAGGGGTTTAGGGTTTAGGGGTTCAGGGTTTAGGGGTTTAGGGGTTTAGGGTTTAGGGTTTAGGGTAAGGCTCTGTTAACAACGATTAGTTTTGGGTGCCTCTGTAATTTGGGCCGTGAAGCCCGGGACTACCAAACGCTTTGGGTACTGCCCCCCACACAGTAACAGTCCATAATAGGGCTACTACTAAGGTCCGAAAATATCCATATTATGAATATCCGCCGAGGCCAGAGGCCCAGGCGTTTTGGTGGTTACCTCAGGTACCCTCCACCTAATCCTCCTCCCTGGTGGAGCCGAAATGATTGGTGACACCCTGTTTTTGCGTTCGTTTGCCACCCCCTTGCCCGGCTTCCCCTCATTTTACCTGATTTGTCGGCCTCCCCCCCCCTCCCAGGCCTCCCTTCCCTCATTTTACATGATTTGTCGCCTCCTTCTCCTCCCCCCCCCTCCCCCACCCCCCCTCCCCCCTGTGCCGATACACCCCCAAGGGATACTCCTTGTGAGGAGGTGTATGACCAGTTATTCCCTAAGGATCAAAGGGCAGCGCCCTGCACACGGACAGTAGTTGTTTTGTCTTGCTACGCAAGGAGAGCTTGTCTTGTCTCAATATGGTAAAACCACTGTGAGCCAATGGGCAGCGGAATGTATATGTATGAGCATGCAGCCATTGCTGTAGGTACCTGTTAGAGCTACCCCTTTAGAGGTTTATGGTTTCAAACAGACACTAATTTTCTTTTACCGGAAGCATGGCCGCACATTCACACATATACTGTTATGCCCACTGTCACAGTTGCGGAGTTTGGACTCATGATAAAAACAGCATATTATTTATGCTAGGTATAGCACTGAAGTACACTGCTGAGGACACTCCACTCATTTTGCACACACACTCATGCATGTTGGTCAGAGAGATCATCTGTACAAGATCATGTCTGGTGATGTTTTCTACATCGAATTATGCAGCCTTTCACTTTGCTCTTGTTAGAGCTTTGTGAGTCACTGTTGTGAAACTCTGAGATTCTCTTATCTCAGATTTGGATCCAGGTTTGGATCATAGGCTCGAGCGTAGACGTTCGGATGTGGCTCATCCGGGTCTGAGTGATCTTCTTCGGAACTTGAAAAGATTCCGAGTAATCTGTTCTCAGCCCTGGTGAAGGCGGCGTCTGCAGTATCATATCCATGGTTGGATGTTGTCGCCTTTGGCTCGGCCTTTGGAGCAGCTTGTGAGCTGACTGGAGTTGCCTTGGCTTTAGCCGGTTGTGGCTGCTTAGCCTTTGCCCGTTCAGCCCTTCTTCTTTCAAGCTGTCCGTCTGAGGACGCCCATGATCTTTCACTTTCATCTCCTGAAGGAGATAAGGCGTGGGCATAAAGGCTATTCCAGTACTGTGTGCAGAAGGAGTTAGGACTTCTTCATTGTCAGATTCTGACTGGTCTTCCTCAGAGCTTTGGTCGTCAAAGAGTGTCTCGAGGACATTTTTGAGATTGTTATTTCTTCGCTCTATCTCTAGTGAGGAATGGACCAATTGGTTAAAGACTGTCCTTGAGTCCTTCAGTGCTGTTAGAAGGATTTCCACTCTGGATAGAGTATCTTGGATGGTGTCAAGATGTTCCTTCCTTTCCTCCTTGTCTCTCTGGATAGAGCTTCGCAATGATTGTGCGATTCTGAGGAGGTCTGTGTATTTCGCAAGAGGCATAGTTACCGTTTGATTGTCATGTATGACAGTTGTTTCGTCGCCGCTTAAGTTCCTGAATAGGACTTCCACGACTGGTAGGAACTCCGTGCTCCACGGTTCCTCTTCATCATATGTTTCTACGTGCTGTAGCACGCGTTGTGTAAACTGGCCGGCTGCTTCTACCGTTGCATCGATAGAGCTGACGTGTCTTGCTGCCATGTTTCGGCACGTAACGTTAATTGCCTGGCCTTGATTGGCTTCGTTAAGTGCAGCGTCTGCATAGGTGCAGAGTCCACTGTTGTGGGCTTCTCTAGCTGCCTTTCGTTGAATGCGCCGATTTTGACCTCCTCTTCTGGTAGGACCTTTTGGTCTTGGAGGATCAGAAGGTACTGTTCCTTTCGCCTTTGGCGGAGGACTCTTAGGTGGAGGTGATATGTTTGCCTTGTTAGGCCCTGGTGGCATTGCCTTGGGCGCTGATGACGATGCGGCACTTGAGAGTGCAGATGTACCTCTGGCTTTTGCCGAGGATCCCTTGGGGATCGATGTATAGGTAATCTGCATGGCTTCTTCGGCCATTTGTGCATGCAAGGCATCCTTGAATAATTGTGTCATGTGAGGAGTGTTACTTGCATCATCGTAGGTCTGGAAGCGCTCAATGTCTCTTTCGGTGCCACGTGGTCGTGTATCACCTCTTTGGAAAGGATCATTCCTGCGAATCTCCGCAACTTGTACTGCATGGAGGCAGTTTTTGCACAGCACCTTCCTGCAAACATCTCTTGCTTGCTTGAGCTGGTAACAGCTGTCTGAGAGATGGTAGACTTCGCTTCGGGAAGTATGCCAGATAGGTCGCAGATCAGTTGTTTCTCCGGAATTGACCCTGTTGGGTCCTAAAGGTTCACGCGTCTGCGGTTCATCCTCGGGTTCGAGGAATGGAACTCTTTGGTTCGCTGCTGCTTTTGATTTTGGTTGTTGGCGCTCCATACATCTGATAGGAGGCCTGGTAATCTGCTTCCACATCCAGTGTAAGCCCATTAGCAGCAGAAACACATTCCACGCGATGCTGAAGACGGAGAAGTCCTGCTCACTGGTTAGTGAGTTTGGAAGTGAAGTTTCATCAGTCTTGATAGACTCTGCGTTCGCTCCACCTCGGTTGCGGTGTCCGAACCAGCCCGACAACCCCGCTGCTGTAGCAGCTGTTCTGAGTGCCTTGCCGCTCGGAGCAGACGGTGGACGCGATGCCTTCCTTCTTCTCCTCCGGCTGGAGGATTCGTCCTCTTGTTCCTCTTCATCTCTCTGAGCAGACATCAAGTTTGATGTTTCTCTTTCGTGTTCTTCGATGTCACTTTTTGTTGGTGACGGTTCTTCTTCTAGTCCATCCAGCTCTTCCAAAGACATGTTGAGCTTGTCAACAATATTGGTTCTTTGAGGCCTGGACCTTGATCTTGGTAGATCTTGTTGTGAAGAGGACGATGATTCCTGGTTCCTTCTTGGAGGAGGACCTTCAGGCTCGCTGGGACGTTCAGGCTGTGGCCACTCCCAGAATCTTCCATATCTGTGATGGCTACCTGATGGTTGCGATTTGTCGTACCAGCTGTTGCCGGATGAGTAAACGAATGAATCGTTGTAACCCCAGTATTCAGCATTACGCTGCTTGTAAGCCTTTCGCTTGTCAGCGATCTTTTGGACCTGGGCATCTGACCGGTTGTGTTTCCCCTTTGTAAGGATTGGTTGTATTGTGAAGCCCAAAGGGCTGTGCCAATCTTTGTCAGAAGGACTCAACCATAGGTCAAGGTTAGAAAAAGTTGAATAGTACTGCTTGACTGAGACAAACAGACGGATATCAATATCCCTGTTGTTGTTCGTGTCCTGCCACATATCTGAGATTCGCTCCCAGTATGTTCTTTCGGCGGCAGGTGTGACATCTCTTGGACTAGGTGACGCCGTGTGCGGCGTTTTACTCCAGTCAAGGATATAACTGTTGATACAGTCAAGGTCAGCAACTTTCTTCGCCGGGTCCGCCGGTAGACGATCTGCACGTGCCAGTCTGTGCTGGTCGGAGTTGTTCAAGCAAAGATGTCGCACTTGTGAGTGCCTTCCTGCTATTTTGTTGAATGCTGCAAGTTTCTTCTCCAGGTATAGAGAAAACAAACTGTTTCGCGGGTGAACGTCTCCACCTTTTAAGGTGAGCCTCGACGCAATATTATTGAGATCTCCCGCTATTACATCCGGTTTAAAAGGGAGAATCTCGTTGAGGAACGCGTTCACCAGTTCGCGTCTCTGTTCTTCCTTATGAGTCATGAATGAGTTGAAATG